ATGTTTGATCGTTCTCGCGGGTTCTCCGGGAGATCTTTGGCTTTTACCGACTGCATTTGAAGCACCTGCTAAAAACTGAACTAGAATTTAATTACAATATTAAAAACTTTATTAAAACTACGAAGAACAACGTTTCAGATTTGTTTTTAAATTCGACTAAACGAAGTTTTTATACCCTTGCAAACACATTTGGGAAAGTTCTTTTAATTTGCGGAAAGACGGACAGGGTTATATGGATGCTGATGAAGAATATATATATACATTCTTAGGAAAATGTTATTTTTCACACTTCTGACTTCAAAAATCACGTCAGTAAACCGTGGGGAATAAACCAAGAAGGCATATCTAATCAAATTAATTAGTCCGTAATCACACTTTATCAAACTATTAAAAATATTAATTAATACAATAAAGAAACACGTGCAAATTTATTAAATCTGCAACATTTATTAATACAATTATATTATGGGTAAATTAAACAGTTATCCGTCCGCACACCGAAAAGTTCTACAAGGTACTAACCAAAGGTAAGAACTCAAGGTGCCGAATTCGCCGAAATCAAAAAGATAAGATTTTAAGATTATAACATTAAACTAGCACACGCATGTTTGCAATTAATGTGCTGATGTGGTCTACAAATGGTAAGTATTATAAATGAAAATGTAGTCGATGGTTAACAGTTAAAGAAATCCATTTTCTAAATCCTATTTATTTATTTTATTGAGAAATACTTAGGAAGAAATACTTTTACATCTGTGAACCGACAAAGACCTAAAATTAAAATTGTGTAAATTATCCAAGTAAATAATAAGCATATCAAATAACAAACAAACCTTTTGTGCGGTTCTCAGCAGGTTGTCATAGGTAGCATGTCCCGACTGCATGACCATGTCGTAAAACACCTTGGTATCCTCCCGCCATCAGATGCTCATAGGGCGTTCCAAATTCTACAGCTCGACCAGCGTCCATGATTAATATCTTGTCCGAGTCCATTACGGTGTGTAATCGATGGGCTATCGTGAGGTCGGTGCAGTGCTTGAAGTTCTTTCGAATGGTGGTTTGGATTTGTGGTCCAAGTTGTACCGCATAGTGCCGGAGAACAGAACGGGTTCCTGGGGAACAATTGAGATCTTACTGCGTAGATCGTGCAGACCCATCTCACTTGTGTCCCTCTTGTCTATGAGGACGGATCCATCGTTGTAGGACAGTCGGAAGAGGGCGTTTATCAGCGAGGACTTGCCAGCCCCAGTACGTCCCACGATGCCTATCTTTTCCCTTGGCTTTATGACGAAGCTTAGGGACTTGAGAACGTTTTGCGCCTTTGGATCCGGCATGTAGCGCAGGCTCAGCTCATCAAACACTATTTTCCCCTCCTCTGGCCAGGATTGAGGTGGCTTCTTATCCGGCGGGGCTTCCAAGGCTCCCTCTGGCTCAATGTTCTCGTACTCATGAACCCTCTCTACGGAAATCATTGTGGTTTCCAACTCGGCCGACTGGCGGACAGTCCACTGGACGGTGCCCATCCATCCCATGGCCTGGGCTAAATGTCCTCAGCTAAGGCAACTTTCCAGGTCCCTTACCTGTGTTATCGCCAGACCAACATCAGCTCCATTACAAGAGTAATTCAGAAACCAGAAGTCAAATTCAGAGCAAGAAGTCACTCGCACTATTTGAAGAATCCGTCATCATCAGCAACATGTCTAACTTCGAAGATCAATGGAACGAGCTTGGAGACCGTCTCTCTACCCCCAATTAAGAGTGTTAAAGCTCTGCCGTTCAACACGCCGATCCCGATACAGAACGCTGAAGCAAAACGGACACGCTTCGGGGAAAAAATTATGCTTACGTGGGAAGACTTTGTGGTATTCCTTCCAGAACGGTTTAGTTCGCTGCCTCCGAAGCTGTGGAGCACATTGCGACGGGGGGCTACAAGCTAATAAAGCATCAATCGGAAGGAGATAATTATATTTAAAATTATACTCTAAACTTTTGTAACGAATAAGAGAAATAAAACTAATATTAGTTAATAATATTAGTTTTATTTCTCTTCTTCGTTTTAAAAGCTTAGAGTATAATTATCTGTATTGGGATCGGCGTATTGAATGGCAGAGCTTTAACACTCTTTATTGGGGGTAGAGAGACGGTCTCCAAGCTCGATCCACTGATCTTCAAAGTTAGACATGCTGCTGATGATGACGGTTTCTTCAAATAGTGCGAGTGACTTCTTGCTCTGAATTTGACTTCTGGTTTCTGAATTACTCTTGTACTCTACATCTCGTATTTATACTGGTTTGCCAGACGAAAAAGTCTGAGAAAGTTTGCGATAAATACATACTCGTACTTCTTTCCAACACAAAATTAGAGTTTTGCGATAACAATTTCCATTCAACAAAAAAAAAACAAATACAATAAATATTTAAATAAAATAAATAATTGTGTTGTGAGTTAGTGTGTGTGTGTGTGAATTATGTTTCACGATAACATTATATATATGTATAACCTTCAAACGAGAGTGGGAGGACAAGTGGGTGGGGAGGGGGGAGTGGGCGCGATCGCAGAGCAGAGTATTCTACAACATTCCAGAACACTCCAGAGCATTCCGGGGCAGCAGCAGCAGCTACGACAGCCGCTATTGATAGGCCCCTGATGTTGCTTAAGATTATTTCTTATATTTCTTGTTTAATATTTCTTTTCAACTCGATTGGGGTTTTCTTATAAATTAAGTAGTTCTTTAAAAGCTTAAAAGATCGAAGCGGACAATTAAAAAGCAAAAACAGAACCATCAAGTCATTAGTCTTATTATAATCTCTCTGTTTGAAAATAGTAAGAGAGAGGGTGTAGGAGAATTATGCAGAGGGCATCGCACAAAATGACTCCGGCCGCATATAAATAAGTTGTCCCAATGGACTCCGAGCCGTTTGAGAAGGAAGACATCAGCTTAGCCAGAAATGGAGGCTGCATCGTTAGTATACCATTCAAAACGAAGAGAACAAGGCCAAGGAAACCAAAATACCAGCCGAATACCCGCAGGACACCTTAGCAAACCGGCGTTCTCCTTGCGAGCCTCTATTTCAATCTCCCAGGCCCTGCTTAGCTTGTTGCCGAGGGTCTCATAAATATGGCTTTATGTAACATTAATTGTAATTGAATAATGGTTCTTCTTACCTGACTTGTGTTCTTTCAAGGCCCTGTAAAGGTCCTTAGTACCCAATGTTATCATTCGGCCCTTAATAAAAGTGGGTAAGGTATATCTAAAGTATTTTAAGTTTGTATCTGATATATGATCATCACAAATTCGCAGTCTTACCAAAAACATAATATCTGAAAAATGTTCGATCGCTATCGCGGATTCTCAGCTTCTAAAGTCTGCATTTTACGCACTTAAAACTAAGTCAGAAGAGGCCTATCTACCCAAATGAATACGATTACGATCACACATTAACAAACTATTTAAAAGCTTAATTAGACTTAAAACAGGACACGTGACATATATTAAATCATATTTCGGCATCAGAATCAGAATAATTAGTTAAATAAACAGCTATTCGTCCACGCACCCAAAAGTTCTGAAAGTTAATGAACCTCGGTTTGGAGACTATCGAGTCAAGTGTCCGAATTCGTCGCAGATAAACGAGATAAGATTTTATTTTTAAGTTATGTGGATATAAATAAAGCGCATGCTTTCACAGACTCTTCTAACAAAAATACAACTTTACTTTAAGTATTATCTCAGGAGCAGAGACAGTCTAGACATTATTAAGTTTTAGGTTTAGTTGTATAAACAAGGAAGAACGCTGTAGTCGAGTACCTCGACTATCAGATACCCGTTACTCAGCTAAATAGAGATATGCAAGCAGCAAAGCGAGACTAAAGTGCGCCACCTACCGGCGGTATACAGATTTAAGCGTTATGGGCGTTAGAGTGGGCGTGGCACTCTACTGAACAAACTTGCGCTGCGCAGGAATCTCAGGAATCTGCGTGCCTAATCCCAGTATTGTAACTCTCATAGTTTCCGAGATCTCAGCGTTCATACGGACAGACGGACAGACGGACATGGCTAGATCGACTCGGCTAGTGATCCTGATCAAGAATATATATACTTTATGGGGTCGGAAACGCTTCCTTCTGCCTGTTACATACTTTCCGACGAATCTAGTATACCCTTTTACTCTACGAGTAACGGTCAGACGATCGACGTAAAAAAGTCTGTCCCGTCTGATTGACCCTGTCGTGAAACACACTCCACAGCCCGTCCAGCATCCATGATCAATATATTGTCTGAGTCCATTACGGTGTGTAATCGATGGGCTATCGTCAGGACGGTGGAGTCTACTGACGAGTTGTAGGCATTTGGACAATGGTTCCAATATAGAAGGGTTTTTTCTTTTATGTTTTTATGCATATTTAAAAAGTTACGTTTAAATACTTTATTAAATAAACAAACAAATTTTAATTGTTTTTTGGGAAATCGTTTTTAACAATAAAAGATATGTTTTTTTAAAACTTTGAAACCCTGGGAAACTCAAGTCAATACACAAACCATTATACAGCTTTTTGTGCTGCCAAAAATATGTTGAAAAGCTGAATGCTAAATATTTGAGGGTCTTAAAGGAATCAGAAGGGTTCTATATTTTTGGATTTACCCTTGTAGATGGTTCACAATTAGGATTTAGTTATTTATCATGTCTTTTAAAATTGATACTTTTATTTTCGTTAGCAATGGGTTAACTTTTAAAGTGGCTAAAAAGCTTTTGGCCATAGCAAATGCAAACTTCGTACGGCTATGGTAAGTGCCCATCGCATGTGAATAGCTTTGCACACACCTACAATTGTTATCACACCGGGCCGGGGTATTGAAGTTATCACCAAAAAGAGAACTGAAATTCTCCGGGAATATAGTTATATGTATGTATAATTAAGATAAGCATTGCATACAGAGAGCTTGGCCAGTTACCAGTGAGTTCATTAGAAATTGACTAGGTAAGTGGGGGTAAAAAAAATATTGCCAAACAGTAGGGCAGCCAGTTAGCCAACAGTGGTCGATCGAGCCAGTCGGAAGTTTCAATTGAGATCGTTACAAAAAGCGAGAGCCATGATAGGATATAACTTATGTGTCTTTCTGATAACAGCAGTCGTTTTCAGCCAGCTGGACAGTACTGTAGCCATACGTAAGCCGTTAGTTTCCCAACTCGATTTCCAACTGATTTCCCTCTTTAATTAACACAGCGTGCTATTCTTGCAATTCAACGGGAACTGACGCTGGGAACTGTCTTATGAGTCCATCTACCCAAAATTCAATAGATTGCGAGACTGGTTGTTCTACCTCGATATCCGAAGGTGAGTTTGTATGACTCATGACCGACTATTTCACATTCTTAGACAAAGGTAAATGCAGGCAATGGCAGTGGCCCCCCTTATCGATCAGGTTAGCTACAGGCGATAAGCGATTATCTCTGTTATTGATAGCACTGATCCCTATTGTTCCGAGATCTTTAACACTAACTTATTAATTGCGAGCGATGAAAATATGTATTATTTAGAGATTCATGCACTGACTGACTTTTGAACTTTCTGTAAAATAATCAAATGTATTAAAAAAGGGGAGATTTTGGATCGCATGAAATATTTAATTTTTCGTTTCATTAAAACTGCTATAGAAATTACCACGCTGTGTTTACGAATTACATACATAACTTATCTTCTTTAGATACTTTAATTTTGTTATCACATTTTGGGCAGTAATCTATTATACATATATGGCGTATCAATGAATATCGTATTTAATGTAGAACGCATAAGTATTAATAAGAAGTATAATTCAATTTTCTTACGTAGCGATTTAAAAGCCGAGTATTAAAATAGAACAGTGAATTTTTATATTTCTTGTTATTAATTGCTTTTTCAAATACCTAATGACAAGTACTTTCACAGTTGATTAGATATCCTGATTTTGGGTACCCCATATTGTTGGTCCTTAAGTCAAAGGCATAGTGTGGTGAATACATTCAAATCTATTCCAGATGGAACACTAATTCGCGGCTGCCAATTAACAAGCTGCACTTCACCCTCCTGTTGGTCCTGCCAAACGGATAATTGCAATACCAACATTGTGTGCAAGGAGTGCCTTGGGCTAGAGGATTGTGCCACGGCCAATGTGACGGATGCGAAATACAATGCGGTGTGCCCGGCCAGCGGGGACCAGCAGTGCGTGAGCCAGGTGAATGGCAACAAGACGGTGAGCCTTTTGTGTGGCACCGCTTGTTCGAGCGCCACATGCTCCTCCTGTGCGACGTCTCTCTGCAATGCGAATTTATATCCCGCCGATCGTCGGCAGTGCTATAGTTGCTCAGGAACGGATTGCAATAAGTTTGAGGAGTCGATGATCACGGGATGCAGTCAAACCGATGCCAAGTGCTTCACCACCGGAACGTCTGAGACCAATATGACCCGTGGCTGTACATCGGCTGACACGGCAATTAAGTGTGCGGCGGATAGCACCGATCCCGATTGCCTTATATGCGACACAAACTTGTGCAACACGCTGCAGTATCAAAGGGACGCCGGATCCTGCCTCATTTGCGACAACTGTGCCGCCCAACAGGATGCGAACGATAAGAAGTCCTGCGACCTGGCCCTTTACAATCAGACTATCGGATGCTACACGGTGACTACGGGCACCACTGTAAGTCGAGGATGTTTGAACAAATTGGACGGAGAGTGCTCTGCGACCAATAACTGCACATCCTGCTCGGAATCCGGATGTAATGTGGCCGCCGTGGACGTGGCATTCGAGTGCATCGCCTGCATTTCGAATGAGGTTGCCGACTGCTGGTCAGCCACTAAGCCGGAAGAACTGCCTGTGGTAAAGTGCGACAACGGAACCTGTTTCAGCGGAATTTGGAGTAAGTATGGTCTAAAAGAAGAAACATATTTTTTTCGACTTCCAATTGTTGAAAGAACCTTTGTAAAAAATAGATGAAAATTAATTTATTCAATTTTTGAATACCCTTATAACACTTTAAATGCAAGATAATTCTCCATATTTGAGATGGTTTATTTAAAAGGTTTTTATCATTTTGCTTTTTTTATTTAAAACAAATTGACCAATACAAAAACTATTTACATTTAAGTGATATAATATAATAAATATCAAACATTTATTTTGCAGGAGGACTTGGAGTTCGAGACTGTTTTACCTCCGCTAGCCAGTTGATGCAGTACCAGTGCGACCACAAAGTGGAGGGCCATCAGTGCACTACGTGCACCACGCCCACCAAGTGCAACAAAGATCCCTTTAACGGAGCAGCCTCTCTCAGCCAGATGGGCGTGGTCGGTCTGCTGATGACCCTAATGCTCGCACTTCGCAGTAGCCTGTAATCCTGGAACTTTATAGATAGTTGGCTAATCTAGCCAAGTTACCAGGTGGTGGATGGGTCTATGACTCATGCAGAGCAACAGACAAAAAGAAACGTAACATAACTATAATAACTGAAGGTAATTAGGAATACTTTTATAATCCGAAATAAAACATCTGTAAATAATTATGTAGTTGTTTCGGTTGGTTCAGTATTTATTTAGGCGGTGAAATCTCTTATTTATCAGTGAACGGGGCATAGGTAAGTGGTTAGAACTGCTTAGCTTATCGAAATAGCAATATAATACATTATCGGGCAATGATAGCAACTTATCAACATAAGCCTCAATAAAAATAGACAAAGACGTAAAAGTGCACACAACTTGCATTAAATATTTACCTGTTAAAATCCAATTAAATTGAAATAACATGAACAAAAGAAAGAGTTATAAAGAATATTTTGGTTTTTCGTTTTCTTTTTTACAAATTGAAAGCTTTGTTTAATTTTATGCCTTAAATACCAAACCATTAATTTCAATATTTTTATATTTTGTTTTATTTATTAGAACAATAAAAATATACCCCTTCTAATAATATAAATGAATTACAATTGGTGACGGCCAAAAAAAGCATTCGTAATATAGATAAACATTTATGTATCCATTGTGCCTTTATCTATTTTAAATTTTTTAATACGTTTTACAAAACTCTGAATGTTTGATTCGGATTATTTTTACACATTCCTTAACAGACAACTGATCAAACTGAAGATCACTAATATTGAGGCCATTATCCGAGTTCCTCCGCCAGTCACCAATCCATTTTTGTTTATGTCCACAATATTGCAATCATCTTCGAAGCACTGTTCGCAGAGTTTTTTATTTTTCTTGCAATACTCCCGATAGTCCTCGTCTAGATCGGAAATACAAGTTCTTATCATAAAGCCGTGTGGACCTCCAGCGGCGTTTGAGTATTTAAAAAATATTGATATGCATCCGTGAAGTATTCCGGGTTTTATAGGACACATCTTTTTCTCCTTACTTTTTCTAGTTTTCCCCTCATTAGGGAAACAATGTGAACAACTAAGGCATCGTATAGGCGGAAAAATGGTTGTTTTGAGTGGCTGCTCGGTAGTCTTTAACACTGTCTTATTTTCGTGGTCTTGTTTTTTAGGATCCAAAATTTCGGGAATAAATACTGAGCTCATAACATCCGTAGTCAAATTAAATGTAATCTCTGGTTCATTAGACTGGGCTTTAAGCAACGGTATTAATACAATTAATATAATAAGCAGCTCCATTGTTAGTTTTATTTTCTATTTATCCTTCGAAGCTTGTCGTCAAACCAAGAATAAGTTTATTTTTCCTTACGGATTCCCTGTAGTTCTGCTAACAACTGAGTGCCATGCATAGAAAAAGCTCCATTCTGGTGATTATTATGCCATTATAAGTATATGCTTTAAATAAAATTGTTTCTGAAACTCCAGGGACTTATGACCCTTAGCTCCTTAAAGTAGATCCCAGTCTCCCTGCTCCATTAAATAATTGGTTAATATTTAATGCTGCGGACCTAATTTTAGTAATGTAGGTAAGTACTAATAATATTGTCGAACACTTAGCACGCAATAATTTAACATTGCGCGACAAATGATTTGCTTCCTAATTTATTGGTATTTAAACCTTACGCAGTATAATACGAATTTTGATAAGAAGAAGTGGTAGTTCCTTTTCAGACAAATGTCTCTTATAATCTTTACGAGCTTATAATCGTTTTTGGATACGTATTTTATTTTTAAATATACTTCATATTTAAATGTAAATACATTTTTTCTAGTTTTAAAACGATATATATTGACACACAATGTGACTTATAGATAATACATGTTTATCTGCATACTGCCGATCTAATCTTCGGTTTTGTGTTATTAGTCATACTCATCGATTTTTAAGTGCGCCATTATCCAGTTACTCATTAATTCTTATGACTCAGAACTGCGGGGGTGGTACTTTATAATACATATATCACCGGCCAACTGAATAAACAGATGCTCCAGATAAGAAAAGGGGTCAACGTCAGCATATGATGAGCGGCGGAAGCAGAGGCCGGAGGCTCTTCAAATTGTGTCATGTTATGAATATTACAATTGGGTTCGTAGCACGATATGCATAGTTGCTCATTGTCTTCACAATAGCGAGAAAAAGAGCCATCCGATTCGATTATGCAGCCCCGACTTAGATAAGTCTTTTTACCCGGCACAATAAAGGGATCTTTAACAAGTATGGTACGGCATCCATTCCTTTTTCCCGGTATTGGTGGGCAGTCGGACTTATTCTCATTCGTAGTCGATTTATTGCAAAATATGCAGGAGTAGCAGCTCAAAGCAGAGAATACTGGGTTAGACATTGGGGGAGTGGGTGCTATAAAGTGGGTTTCAGTTGTGGGTTGAGCTGTGGTGTCCTCTTGGGGTCCGTCACTCGGGTAATCGGGTGATCCGCCCTGTGATATGACTGCAGTTTCGTTGGCGGAATGAGTTTTCATCTCTGGTGAAGTTGGTGGTTGATTTAAAATGTTGGGACCCACTTCTGCGGAGGATTCCTGATTAACCGTAGGCGACTTATCTAAATGATCTGATGGATGGTCGTCTCCTTCAGTATCCGGAGTTTCTGGTGGAGGAGAAGTTTCGTTATTTTCCTTTTCTGGTTCTACTTTTTCTGCTTCTTCTGTTTTGTGGTCCACTTCCGTATTTTTGTCCATACTGATTTCATCAGGCTCGTTTTTATCATCCACTGTTTGATGATCCATCTCTCCAACTTGACTGGCATTAGATGGCAAATTTTGTGAACTTATTACATCTCCCATGGGTCCATCAGTAGTCGGTTCTGTTGTGTTCATATAATGCTGTTTCTCTGCTGGAGGTTCTCCACCATTCTCCTTCGTTTCCGTTACATGCTCTTCATTTTTATCCGAGCTTTCACCTTCTGATCCTCCAATTATGCTGACCTCTTGTATGTTATCCTCCTGGGCCCGACTCCATTGAAGTAAAAGAGCCAGGGAGACCCAGATAGCCAGGAATCTTAGCCGCATTATGGTCACTGATTGGTTGAAACTTTGCAGAGCTTATGACTTGGATGGGAAATAAATCTTCCACTGAACCTCAGAGTAGATGGGCTTATCAGGTCCGTATCTTTTGTTATCGGTTTATCCCCGCTCTGAAGAGCTCGGCAAATAGGAATATTTATTCTGTGCTATCCTCCGATGAGTTTGTAATTCCCGACCTGTCCCTTGTCTATTTAGCTGCCAACTGAGGTCGGTGGTCATTAAACCGCCTGGACATATGATACGTGTACTCGAATCCGGTGATTGTCACGCAATTATCCGGTCTCAAAACTAAATCGATACCTTAGGGGTGGAAGGCAGCAGTCGAGGGACCCTTGACCCACACATATGATTCGCTCCCGACATTCCTGCAACAAATGCGAGCTCCTGAATTATTGATGATGTGAACCTTTCGGTGGAACCGATGGGACACTACGATAATGGGGTCAAGGCACAGAGCACATTATGGTTATGACATTTTTAGTCATTATGCATATGCCGGAATTAAATCGCGGTAACCATACAACCGTGGTTGGGAATGGTTCAATCCACAAAGAAATATATGAAGAAATCATATAAACCCTTATTTCCAATCTAAATTATTGCTTTTTTTTAAAAGAGAATTCCTAAAAATTTCACAAAAAAATATTAGAATTTACAAATTTTACTGATGGCACTCTCTATTTTTGACAATATTGTACTTTTAAGAATTTCGTTGTTCAGTAAACCTTAAGTTAAGATCGATCATTTCATATAAAGATCCAAAAATAGCATTTTCTTTTAAAAATATTTTGTTAAATAAGTAAATACTTATGTAAATACATGTGATTAAAGTATAATGTTGAAAGTTGGGTTTTTTATATTAAAAGCTTATCCTTATCAACATTTTAACTATATCAATTCTTTGTTGTACAGTCTGATAACTCATAAACAGATTATGGATTTCAATAGCAATCAAAGGTAGACTGTCAAGTTTACATTCTTTATGAGCCGTCGAAATGCTTAGACTGAAGGAACGTCGTCACTTGTTTCTGCACCATGTGCTCATCCTTCTCGTAATCCTTCTGCTAACAGGTGAGGCATTTGCAATTTCTCTCAGAAACAATGCGTTGTTAACTTTTGAGGGCGTTTCAAATTATAGGCCGCAGTTTGGCCATAGTTTGCTATCACTGCGATTCCATTGCCCTGCCTGAATGTTCCCAGACCCTTGGAGAGGTGGGGCTTCTTCCTTACAAGGAGTGTCCCACTGAACTGTCGTGTCGTGTGTCTATTGGTGAGTCCAACTAAATATATATATTCGTAATTAATTTCCAATTGACGACGGCAAGTCAGCATTTTCAAAAAATCTATTTTTGCATTTCATTAAATTGTAATAGTCGAAGTTTACCAGATAATTGCAGGAAACCTAGCAATAGATATTTGTCTATTTTGGATAATTAAAATTGTATAATCCCTTTTCTCTATCAGTGGACTCTATCACATATCGCGGCTGCGGAGCAGAAACCCCCATTACCGGATCGACCTACACAAAGTCTTGCACCGCAAACCTGTGTAATGGTGGTGTCTATCCTCCAGGACGACTCAAATGTCATCACTGCGCTGGACAGGAATGCGTGGCAGCGCCGGGGGCAAAACCCAAGCCCTGTCGCTATCACTTCGAAGAGGATCAGTGCTACACGGATGTTTTAAGTTCTTCTGAAGCTTACAGGGGCTGTGTTTCCGAGCAGAATCACACGCTGTCCAGTGCAGCAAAGCTGTGTGACATCAATGGCTGCAATGAGGATCAGGGAGCTTGGACACAAGTCTGCGCCACCTGCGATTCTGCAGAAGGCAGGGGCTGCAAAATGGATCTCTTTCAGATCAACACCGGCAGGTGTAACGTGACGTTGTACGAGGAATGCCAACAAGAAGTGCTATTGGGCGAGCAAGAGGACAAGTACTGCTTCAGTTTCCGAAAACTAAGCCGGGTGGTCAGAGGCTGCTCCACAAAAATGCCAGCAGATCTGGTACCGTTCTTGGAGGAACTGGAAAAGTGTAGAACCAGTGACAACTGCAATGCAGGTTGCATTACCCGGCAGAGATGTTTAGACTGTAACTCCCTGGATCAGGAACTTTGCAGGACGAATGTTACCGCTATAAGTGCCAGCACTTGTGGCTCCGCTGAGGCCTCCTCCTGCTTCTCATGTGAGTATTCCAACTGGAGCTTGCAAAGAGGCTGTGGAGCACCACCCACTAATCCCGATGTCGTCAAGTGCTACGAGTGCGATGAAGAAGGTGGATGCAATAATAAGGATTTCACCCGCTGCTACCAATGCAGCACGGATCAAGCGGGAGCAGGCTGTGCGAATTGGGAAAGACCAGGTGAAATATTCATCGAGGAATGCGTTGAGCCAGCCACATCGTGTATGGTGGTTTCCTTTAACAACGGCACCACTGCAAGAGGCTGTCAAAAACCGGATCTCAGCTGTACATCCGCCAATGTGGCCAATTGTCTTCCCTGCCAGGGAAGCTTTTGTAACAAAGGAGCCTTTCCGGAGGAGCGCCTCTGGTGCCACCAGTGTACAGGGGTAGGGGATTGTGAGGAGATCTCCAGGGGGCAAACTGCTCTTCCTTGTCCTGTTCAAGCAAATGAACCAGAAGATCAAAAAGTGGCATGCTTGGAGTACTTTGACACCCACACTAAGCAGGTTGTGAGAGGATGTCGATCCAATTCGGAGCTGTACTATGAATGCCTCTTAAGGAGTAACCAACATGATAGTTGTCGCATTTGTCACAGTCAGGCCTGCAATAATAGTACTGGAAAGGAGTTGAGAGCGAGTTATGAGCTAGAGACCAAGGCAATGGCATTGCTGGAAGCCAGAAGTTCTTCAAAATCTTTAGAGTATACTAAAGTGGGTTTAGGAATTTGCTTGTTCCTAAGCGTACGTAACTTGTAGGATCAGATCCTATATAAAAACTAAAGTTTTATAAATGCTCACACAAGATCCTTTACAATCATCTTTTTAATGGTATCCAAGTGGTTGTTCTTTAGCGTTATGTATCTTGTAACTTGCAGAGACTATAAATAAAATGAAAGCAGAACTCATAAAGATCGCCTCCTATTCCGGGGGCGTATAACCAGGATTCAAGGCACGGCCGCGGTGATTAAAGGAGTAGAACGAGGGGAAGTTGCCCAAGGTGTCCCACGTTTTCTGCTGCATGTCCACGGTGGCTCGGATTTCCTTGAAGTTGCCCACAACCTCGATGATGTTGTAGATCACAATCACCAAACTGATGACGGTCTGCAGGATAATCTGGGGATTGTCGAGAAGAGCCCTGCATAAGTAACCATAGAAGTACTCTAAAGCTGTTGATACTTACATCCAATGGAAGACTGGTCCATTCCTGCTCCGTCAGCCTCAAATAAGTGCGATCTGTGAAGTAAGTGTAGCACCTTTATTAGCGGTCCAAAGTTTATCTACCAAATTAAAATGTAGATACTCACGGTGGGCAGCCGAAAATGCAGCGTGGGCCAGGCTGGCAAACCCGGCAATCAGCAAAAGCTTATTGAACAATTTACTGCCCATTTTTTATTGAACAATTACAAATTAAAATCAGACTGAACAATTTTCTACAATGTTTTGCTAATTTGCTGACGAAAAATGCGGGCACACCTATTCTAGAGATTGTGTCATTGTCGATATTTTAAGGTAGTCTATGGACACTGCAGACTTTCGATGTTTTTCTAGAGGTTTTAAAACAAATGAAATAAATAAAATAAATAACTAAATTAGTATTAAGGAAGAACAATTAAATGTAATATATTATTCATACAATACACAATACAATACAATTAATTAAAACTTAACACGTAAGATAAATTCATATGCATGTAGTTTAATTTAATTTTAAAAGATTTATTTTTAGATACATTTATCAAAATGATCACCGCCCTTTTGATATATTTAAATTTGTATCTAAAACTATCGGTTGGAATTTGGTCGCTTTTGGTACTTTTTTACTTTTACGGTCACTTTAAAAAAGCAGCCGCGCTCGCAGGTATATTTGAACGTTTCCGTAATGGTCTCACTATTCGTTTCTGAACATTCGGAAGATTCGGAAGTCGCGGCCTTTTGAGCGGAAAAACTTGTGTCCAATAAGATAGAAAACTTGCAACAAAAATAAACCCGGCATTTCAAACGCGTTTTGCAACTGATTTTTTCAAAGCTAAAAAGGATTCAAGGCCACGCCCCCGCCCCAAGGTTTACTTGTAGCAGCAGTGTGTGTGTTTTCCTGGCGCATCGCTGTATTTGTGTGTGTATCCCGACGTCTCTTTTGCAGTCCTTTTTGCGTGGGTGTGCCAAAAAGGAGAAGAGGGAGAGAAAGAGACAGCAGCAAAAGAAAACAGTGAAATTCCAGAACATCAAAGCAAGTAAATAAGGGCCGACAACATGTCCGTTTCCTCGAACGCCTCCTCCGCCTCCAACAAGGACAGCGTGGACAGCCCCAGCAGCACCACCAACACGGACAGCTCCGAGCTGACGCACATCCTCAACCGGCGCCAGGAGATCATGGACTCCCAGGAGGCGGGCATCGAGGTGCGCCGCACCTACAAGGTTGTCAACGTCTACACCGACTTCCCCGAGTTCTCCCGGAACCAGATCAAGGACTACCAGAAGACCTTCAACACGTAAGTCAAGGCCGAAGTTTTTGATTATCTTATCTTGTAAGAAAACTTTTTCCCCCTGCTCCACCTTTAAATATTGGAGGTGCTTACAGAAACCTCAGAAATCTCATTTTAAATTGAGTTTTTGCTAAAATATATAAATATAGAATGTGTTAAAATAATAATTCCAATAAATTATTACTCCTTGTATTTAAGAAGTTGGTTTACTTCATGCCCTCTACTTTATATACCACAAATGTTCATACCAATTTAATTTAAAGTACTATAGTAATAAGTCCAAAAACCAACTGCTTTTCTAAAGCTGTTTAGGATGCCTGGAGATTATAAAATAAATACAGCTTTATGGAGCTGAAGTTTTTAAAACATTTTTAAAGATTAAATCTGTAAAGCTGTTCTGTATACAAATGAAAACAGAAAAATCAAATATTTTTTGATAAACTGTAGAAACGTTGTTCGATATACAGAAGGTCGACTGTATTAACCTTCGTACTCCTTTCACCTGCAAACTTCCACTTTCCCAGGCATCTCACCGCATTCGCGTCTCATTAGTTGGCAACATAAAACTCATGCGCCTAATGGGCATTTAAATTGCATTTACTGCAGCCCCTCCTTGGAGCACCGCCCCTCCGCCCGGCCCCCTGTGCAATGGGGCATGACTCACGAGTACTTGGGGAGCAATGTTGTCACAGTCACTGGCTTATTCCCAAGTCGGTGCTCCCGCCGAGCGGATCATGAGTCAAAAGTGGTTTTCTGCCCCAACACTTTCAAACGGATTCAATTATTACACTACAGTCCAGCTCCCCTAAGTGAAATTCCCAGTAAACCCAATTTCATTAATGGATTTTCTTTAAAAAATATTTACATTCCTTCTAACTATACAACTTACATCTTATAGTTGAGTATGTATTAGTAATATTGTTATTCTAACACAAAATAATTAGGTATCTAATAGTTTTCTTCAAGGTTTATTAAGTTCTAATGTTATATAGTATAGGGGTTATCAAAGATCACCTGAATCTATGCCTTACTTGTTTACGGTTTCGCATTACCATCCGACAACGTCAGCTGTCGACTGACTGACACCTTGCAAACGAAATGTTTTCCGAGGTTTTCCCTTCCCCAGTTTCCTAGTCTTGTGGTGGATCGTTTTAGTTATATCCAGTCTCGGGTTTCGCTCAATCAACCGCAGCAGTGTTGCGCAATGGTTTTGTTAGATTAAATGTCTAGAATAGTTATTTAAATTCAAGTTCTTGGCACGTAGGGTCGCCTAGGCTGATAAGCTATCTCAGGTTCATCCGTATTATCTTTTATTCATGTTGATTAGCTGAAATTCGCCCAGCACCTCTCACATTTTTTTTTAGCGAATTTAAGTCTTTACTCACCTGAGGTGAAGATGAATCACCTGACAATTAAGACAAAACGGGAATGCCAATTAGCATGAGTTGAACAGTAACTGATTTTGTTTACGATTAGCATCGGCCAGCCAATTGGACAATTATTCTCTTTGACTTCCCTGGGTTTAATGGTTTCTTATAAGCTTACTTATTATATTCCTCCCCTAAAATCAGTTCCTCTTAATTTGGGTCAAATTCCCCGGGATCTGGCAAATTGTCAAAAAGAAAAGAGCCTGCATTATGGCAATGCGAACGTGTTCTGCAATTGTAATGTAATGCAACAGCAGCAAAAAATAGAGAAAAAGACAGAGAAAAACTCCAGGCAGTCTGGGAAATACTGGCTGCATAAGCCACAAAAGGCAGACAGACAAGAGACTTTTGGTCTGCGATTAGCTAATGTTTTGGCCATACATTTATGGGTAATACGATTAAATATGGAGAGAAAAAATGTTTGCTTTGATTATTCAATTTTCCATTTTTTGGGTCTATAACTTTAGGAAGTACCAAGCTATAAAATCATTGAAAATACATACTTTCTTAAATTACCCAAAAAAAAGTTTAATTCTTTATTATGAGATACCAACTTTTTTAGAATATAGAAATATTTTTTAATTTTAAGATATGGAAAACATTATTATCTTTGAAATGGCATGCTCTAGTTTACTTTTACTTGTTCTAAAAATGAATGTATGTATGCGTTGTCAGTATTTTAAAAGTTTTGTAAAATTATTTTTTCAAAGAAAATTGCCAGAGTTTTCGCGACGTTTTAGTATGCCAGATAAAAATTCTACAAACCACAAAAAATGCGCAAACATGTTTTTGTACATAAAATTCTTGTCTCTGCGAACATGACTAGATCACCAGACGTAAAGACATTTTTTATGCGGATTCACTGCTAGATTCACTCACGTACTTTATTGAATTATCTCCCTAGACTTTAGTACATTTTTTCTACCCAGACAAATGCCAAATGGGCTTGATCTTCTTGGCTCAGCTTGCGGTTGGAACTTTAAAATAATAACAAAACGAAAAACCGGCTAAAGTAGCGCCTTTATGCCGCGGCATTTGGCATTTCCAGTCACGTTGGGTCGTCCGGAGACTTTAAGTGATGTGCTAAACTGGCAAATTTAAAGCGCTCAAACCTGAAAGGTTTTAATTAAAACACGAGATTTACATATTCGAGAATCGAAAGCAAAACGTCGCCTGAGTCACGCATTGAATTCGTTTTACAAAGCAATTTGTTTAAACAATTTGCAACTGAATCAGCGCGTTGTTTCTGCGAACTTGCTTTCCGATAATCAAATAAATGCAAATGTAAACAAATTCAAGTTAAGACGTCACAATTTCGGAGCAAGGCAGTGTTCCTCTCGAGCTTCCGAAAACGATAAGGTTCGCCAGATTTACTGGCCAATCCCTAGAGAAATAAAGCGTATTTTTATATACATATGGATGTGGTTTAATTCCACGAATCACCTTATCATAGCTCACGCAATGCATACAGCTATTTTATGGCGTCTTTGGCTTTGGTTTAGTTTCCTTATTGTTTTCCCCCTTTGTAACATCCCATTTTCCGCACGGATGTCTGCTGAATTTCAGAGATATTTAACTTCCGGGAGACGATAAACTGCAGAATTATATCGATTATGCACTTTATGGCGTCTCAGTCTGTCAAATTTAATCATCATGGGGGTTCTTTCGCTTTTGAAGTTGTGCATATGTAGCTACATCGTCTGCTGAGGAGTTGATAAGCAGAAATCCCTTGGTAAACTTGGAGGAAATCAACCACCAACGTACTTAGATACACTTACGCACGGTTTTCATTGTAGTAACTTTGTATATTATTTACATTGGATTCCATTCTGAATACAGCTCTTTATAACATACAGTGATTACTCATTAAATATGAATCCAATTGCGCAGAATGTACTTTAGTAAATAAGGTGATTACTCATGTAATAAAAACTTTGATCATCCCAGGAATATTAGTCAGGGTGTTCATTGTATATATGATTTTTTCTAAGCCTGTACAAATTTTATCTACCATGTAATATTTTTATTTATAGTATAGAAAATATTTAAAATGTTTGTAGTTTTTACAATAAAATGGATTGGGACCCTATTCATTGTCTTAAAAAACGATTCAATTAAAGACGTCCCTGAAATATATGTAATTCTATAAAACACCCACAAACCTTGCCAATTGGTCGAACTTATAATTTCAAAAGGCGTTTGAAAAAGCTTCCAAATAGGGAATGACCACTGTGGGCGCAAAGCTTCTGTTGCTCCCCCGTTTTCCGTTAAGGGTGCTATGCTATCGATGCCAATGCTACTCGTATCATGGACTGTCGTCGCTCTGGTTACAGTTTACAATTCGAGTTCATGGACAACAAGCAGCGGACCTAGTACGCACTTTACAATGGGGGAGGAATCCGTTTCTGTGTGGGCTTTTATTGCGACCACAGTGGCGAGGAGAAATTTTAATTAAGTTGCCATTGCCACCACCCATTATCACTCGGGCATAACCCCTTAACATAAGACCCCTCTCTGCACTTATGCGAATTATATAGGTACATTTTTTTGGGGGTTGATTTCTAGGACTAGGACTATTAAAGTTTTTTCCCCATGCACAAATTCACATTTGCATTCGCCTAGGTTCATTGACACTAATTTTGTTGTTCGCCAAATGCTGTTTGCATGCCGGCTCTTGTGGGTTCGGTAATCACTACCGATGGAAAGCGGGTTTTCTGGCAATCGATAGCGTTGCATTATCGTACGCCCCGCTCATTTCCGGCTGCAGCCTCCACTTGTAATTATTTCCGCGCACATGTGCACGACCTTTTTACATTTGGCCAAAAATCGCCTCTCGCGAAACGCAGATGTGCAATTGCATTCAGCAGCATTCGGCGACGGGCAGTCTGGCATGTCCGCAAAAACACGCTAAAGAAAAATAAAGTACAACGACGTACAGTAAACTAGCTGACAAAGGAAAGCCAATGACAGGATGACAGTGGAACCCCCGCCTCGTGTCCATCGACGCTTCATTGTGCGCATTGTGATTACATTTTATGCGATCTGCGGTTGCGGGATGACAGGCACATGTCTGGACAAAATACTAGCAAAGAAGTTGGAAAAATCAAGAAAAATATTATATCCATTAAATCTTAAGTTTAAGAGGTACACACAAAAGATTGTATGGTTAAAGTTAACCAATACGGATATTAATGTAACTGTAAGAAAAGTTCAAAAAAAAAAAAATTTACAGTAGTGAAGTTTTTGCTTTAGATACTATTTAATAGTATAATTACCATAAAATAGTAATTTTGTTGTACTATTTCGTTGGTCAAATTGACAATTAGATGGGTTCCTAACCATTTATCTGTTATATTTTATTATATTATATACCTTTTTTAAGTAAGCCTATTGGTTCTAAAAAGATAAAGCCTATAAAATTATTATAAAATCAATCGCCTTATAATCTAGAAAAAATAATCTAGAATAAATAACGAGTAATGAAAAGACAATCGCCTATTATTTTTCCAGCTAATTGAATAAAGCACTTACAGTCCATTAAACAAACATAATTGTTATTCTAATTAAAAGTTATATGGCTGTCTAACTATCTCTAGCATGCTTATGACAGAGCTAATAGATTGACCACAATTGTGTCAACATATAGGGAAAATACATACGTATATGCTACTGCTTTAGTGTCGAGTATTGTCCACTCAATTGAGGAAATATCAAATTATGTACCAGCCCAGTGGCGCATCATCGTCACTCATCCATCCATTGTGTCCCCAACTTGCTGCAATTAGTCACTGCATTTGCTCATTGTCCGGTTTATTTACTTGATTTACTTCTGTGGCGATAAGAAGAACCCGAAGTTGCTGCAGCCTTTTCTTGTTTCCTGCAGCAACTAAAAATAATCAGAGATGCGACCCACGCAACGCTTCTTTTCCCGCTTCCCATCTCATCGGGTTGCTCCAATTTCGAAATGTCAAAATATGGCGCGTTTATTTTGGGAAACCCATACACATTTCATGAGCAATTGAGAAAGGATGGGAAAGACCCCCATTAGAAGTTGGAGTCATCGTCAAAAAATAATGTTTTTGTAAACTTGCATAAGATAAGAAATGTCTATTATTTTATTGACACTAAACAGGATGTCAAATTATGTGGTTTATTATCTTGCATTTGAATAATACATGCTTAGCTTAAAAACATACAATTTTATAAATTATTAATTTATATACCAAATAAATAGAAGATACTAAAAAAGAAAACATGAGAATAAATTTAGAAACCTCAAAAGGCAAGAAATCAACGAGAAATTACATTTGGTTTAGGATTCTTAGTCTACATTATTTATATAACCAATTAACACCCAACCAATTTATAGGAGACCCTTATGGGGACCATTAAAGGGAAGTTCCCCAGCCTACCAGTCATGTACTTTATTTATTGATTTACAATTTTACATACCTGTGTTTGCGCAGGCAATGTGCACAGGTGCATGTTTGGTTTCGAAACAGAAAACATTCAGGTGAGTGAGACGATCCAGACGAACCATTCGACATCGGCCGAAATAAACAAGCGATTGTGTATGCAAGACATCGCCTTTGAACATTTCTCGTTTCGATTCGGCCACAATAGATGAGAGACGAGGGCCCACAGTGTGGGTACTTTGTAGTACATCACATGGCTATAATGATGAAACCCGCCCTATGAAGACATGCGTTGCATTTAAAGCGTTTGCAGCCGTCGGTTAACCGTTACCGTAAAGTTCAAGAACTTGACGCGTTTATAACTGCAAAAGCGTTAGTGCTTGGATCGAAATCGGACTCCCTTTGGCATTAACCCGCTTGAACATCGGGGTCACAAAAACTCCATTCACAATAGAAGCTGCAATTGCGAGGCATTAGGCGGCTAATAGAGAAAACCTGTGTTCAATATACGTAGTAATTGCAGGTTGCCGGTCTCAAAAGCAGAAGCAGCAATTACCTACAATAATGGCTATAATACTAGCACTTCTAATAGCAAATCCATGTAGTGACCTGAAATGTATTTCATTTAAGTGGAAAATAAACGTTTAGTATATGACTTTCGTACTTCGTTAGGGAATAATAAAACGACCAACAAGTACAAAGATATTACAAGGTACACATAAATTAACGAAATAAATAAAACAAAGTATTATATAATCCTTATAAAAATATGATTTAAGGATCGTTAAATAAATAAAACATAAACAATTTCGAGACGTAAACTAATAAATAAAACCCAATAACTTAGTCCGGCCGAAAGTCCTAGCAACTATGGCCGATTCCCCCCGTACCTTAAGTTTTAAACTTTTAGCAACAGTGTACAATAATTAAATAAAACCACAACAAATATGATATTAGTCGATGCTACTATTTTAAGCGCAGCTGTTTACAAAGTACTAGACAAAGTACATGCATAGATAAATTTACGATGCAAATTGCGGCAGGCATAAACGGCAACACCAATAACAATGGCCAGCTGACCCCGTTATTTGTTGAACTGTACGCGAAAAACGATAAAGAAAACGAAAATCGCATACATATATAGCATATACCATAAGGCCCTGCCACAATAGAACAACAAAAACATTGACCACATGCAATGGGGCAGAAAGATTTTAGACACCCCCAAAAACCTCGGAGTGTGAAGTTGTTCAATTCATTGGAATGAAAACAATCAATAAAAATTAGGCTAAATCCGGTGGGAGGCTGTGGGCGGTTTGTTGTTAAGGCAGGAACGGGAGGTTTTCCACAGAGAGCAGCAGGTGTTTGGAATCTATACAAAATAAAAATGGGATCATAACAAAATGATGAGATTTTTAAAAATTGTTTGTAGTATAAAGCTTAAGTTAGGATTTTTTTAATAAAATCTAGAAATATACCTAATTTTCAAATCATAAAATAAAATAAACATATCAGTTCGTTAGTTTTCAAAAAATTAGCTTAGTATAAAAAGTTTTCCAAGTGATTTTATAACATTTATAGGAACTATTTTCCCAGATCCCAGTTTTTATGCAATACCACCCACGTGAATACCTCCTGTGGCTGCTAAATTGATAGAGAAATGATTTAATAAACACATCCAGCGGCGTCTTGATTAATTGAACCGAACAGCTGGAGTAGCTGGCATGTTGACGTTTATTATGAGAGACCACCGGCAATTGAAATGAAAGCCAGACAACAACACCTCGATGAATTCGAAAGAAAACAACGAGATACCGGCAGGCGAAAAGCAAAAGTGCCACCAATTGTCACATTGACGCAACTCGGGGCTGAAGAAAAGAGTGCAATTGGAGTTAATTAAAGACGCAATAGCGTAACGCTGGCCATCGTTAATTGCCCATCTCGGATGGTGGCCAAAATGCGATGTGGATGTGCGGTGACACCTAGCCATCATCGCCAGACACGCCTGAGATGATACAATTTTCATTGCATCTCGGCTAATTACTTTCACTCTTTTCCTCTTTTCATTTTTCTTCCCACAAAAACACGCAATTTGTCGATACGGATTCAATTATTTATGAAACGAAAGCGAAACTTCAATTGCTCGGTTGGTTGTAATCTAACAGATAATATTTCGTCATTACGTGGCGGCTTCTAGGCGAGCGAGAAATCGAAACTGAAAGTTGCGACTATTGGATAACGACGAGGTGTATGTATCCATTCGCGGGTAATGGGTATTTATTGTCATACGAGTGGCTGTGAAGTTGCTGCTTCCTTTGCTGCGTATTTTTAGCTAGATAGAGCCCCAACTAGTTAAACTAGTTTGGCTGATGATCATTGGGGATTCAGTATCCTTCGCCTAACTCGCAAGGTCGCTGGTTTCGGAGCCTGTGCGACTAGTTTCCGCAAGATGGTCGGTCGCCAATTGATGATGTTGCCTCGTGTTGCTCATCTGCCGCCCGCAGCAACACGCGATTTCTTCAGACGACAGCGCGTGCTTCTTGCGTTTTCTCTTTTAATATATTACACAATTAGATAGTAAATGGGCTTTATTTACATTTCCATCGCGATTTCCTGCCCACACTATGGCGGAAGTTTGAACTCTTGACTCGCCGATTTCGGTCGTCGAACTGGCGATAGATAAACGGGAATCGTGAGGGAAATTCTCCGAAAATATGTCTTATAGGGTACATGAGAGCTTATAAGGAAAGCCGTTTATTTGGTCACGTATGTATCTGTAATATATTCATTAACCTGTCTAGATACTTACCCATAAAACGGAGGTAAAATTCATTATCAATTGGTATTCTCTAATATGTATAATTGGTTTATAGGACAAATATAAAGAAACACTTCCTATACAAAGAGATTAGCATATGAAATAAAAATTGAATTATTTTATTTAACCTTTTGATTTTGATATGTTGCGTAAGTGATTATAACTATCCGTAACCCTCTACACCAAACCTATTTTGGCTTGCATATTATACCATTTCGTTTAATTTATGGGTCGCCTAGCGGGTGCTATTGTTTCGCCCTGCGCTGTTGTTCGCAAATTTAGCATGAAATTGGGTTGGTTGCCAACCATAACCCCCTGACTCCCGCAAATTTCACAGACATCGGGCCACGCGACCTCTGACGCCAGTGCACCCACGTTTGCATTATCGATTGCTAATCCCCGACATTGGGAGTCTCGTGTCTTGCGGCTGGTCAATGACCAGTGACATTTCTCTTTATTCTCACCCTTCTCCTTTCGCCGATTCTCTGACTGCTGACTAACTGATTTGCATGTTTTATATTTGGCCTTTTCCAGATACGATACGGCTCGCGATGGTTTCTTGGATCTGCAGGAGCTCAAGTTCATGATGGAGAAACTGGGTGCGCCGCAAACCCATCTGGGACTCAAGCAGATGATTGCCGAGGTGGACGAGGATAACGATGGCAAGATCTCGTTCCGGGAGTTCTTGCTGATCTTCAGGAAGGCCCAGGCCGGGGAACTTGACTCCGATTCCGGGCTGAATCAACTGGCCCGCCTCACCGAGGTCGATGTAGAGCAGGTGGGCGTGAGTGGAGCAAAGAACTTCTTCGAGGCGAAAATCGAGCAGCAGCTGCGGACGAACAAGTTTCACGACGAGATCCGGGCGGAGCAGGAGGAGCGCCGGCGCGAGGAGGAGGAGCGGGCCCAGCGACGCCAGCAGTTCCAACAGCGGGCGGCGATCTTCCAGTAGAGGATCCATACACTCCCACGTAGTCTAGCGCGTAATTATCTGGCGTAGGTTAATCGAATGTGGAACTAATCCCGGGAGAAGAGGATACGCTTCGTACAAGCAGCAGGCATTTTCAAGCATCACATACAGTTTATATTATCCATAATAATCGCCCCGTATATTATCTCGATTGGCTGGTTAAAACATCTTAGGAATTGAATGTTATCTTTGATTAAAAAAAGTGTTTCGATTTTGAAACTACCTATAGCCTAACTGCAATTATCCAAAAACAGCGTTCAATTTCTAATATACATTTTTTTGAGTCCAACCAAATTGAGCCATCTAGCCCTCACATAAGCATACATACCTACATAAATAACGATCATACCAAAAGCGTATTTATAGTTAACCTTTAGTTAAGTGAAAAATGTTTTAGCTTAAGACCTATTTTATTGTTTGGTGTTGCGCAAAATTTCTTTGTTGAATTACGTTTCCCTTGACGGTTGTTCAAAATGTATGTTTCTTTTACTTTACGATTTTTACTTGTAGTGCCATTATTATTTTCTGTTTTAATTTTTGTTTAAAGAAAAAGAAATCGATAGTTATGTTAAGCACATCAAATTGTGAAATTCAACCTTCTTTGTATATACTAAATCTACGTTGGCATTCAATCTTAGTTTCAGTTGTATCAAGTTGGATTATGTGGAATATTTAATTAAGTTTCGATTTCAGTATTTCACGATTAAAGTAAGCAATTAAAGCAATACTAATGCGTTTAATGCGAATACACAAGAAAATACACGTACTTTTAGAGAGCGTTTAATACAAACTTATACTGCAATTTAAATAAATAAATGTATATAATACAAAATTATTTTAATGTTCTTTTATTGTTTTGTTAAACCGCCTTACAAAATCGTAAAGTTTAAAGCTTTTTTATTTGTTGTGCCCTTTAAAGTGTTAAGCCTTGTTTTTCATCAGTCAAGCGCTTTTCAAATATGTAGATACATGGAAGACTTTATCACCAGCGCCCTTGGCTAGAAGCAATTTTATTCCTGCTGCGACCTTTTCATCACCTTGTTGGTTTCAGTGCGAGACCACCAACTAAGTACCACATGGAGTGACTTTATGCTTAGTGCTGACATGGAAATCCAGAGTTATACACACGATGGTGTTTCATGGATCCACGTGTTAATAGAGGATCTATAGAGAAGAATCATGTATTCGACAAGATGCAATGTAATTAAAGTTGCAACAATTTATTTTACCCAAAACATCGGAGCAATTGAACTAGCAAATCTTCTACTCGGTAGGCTATTCCTTGTCCATTTGTCAGTCATCTCCTGGACTCCAGTTACTCCCCGGCAGTTGGCCCTTTTCGAAGGGAATGCCTGCACCTCAACATATCACATTTCAGCGCATAGCGATGCTGGCAGACGGGACACTCGTGCGGCTTGAGCTGCAGGTGGTAGCCCTTAATGTGTTGGGATAGTCCGTTGCGCCGCTTGAAAACACGCTCACAGATGCCGCACTTGTGCTGCCGTTCCGTCGAGTGGGTAATATTATGTTGGCGAAGTCCATTCAGCGATCCAAATGCCTTTTTACAAATATTGCACTCAAAATTCTGGGCGGGTATGAGTTTCTTTTTTGAATTAGTTGCTATCTGGACCTTCATTTTGGATTTTCGAAGTCTGCAATTGAGTTCATGACGGCGATACAGGCGCCAGTGGGCAAAGGCGATGGCCTGGCAGTAGCGGCACTTGAAGCTCTGCAGGCGCCGATGATTTTTGAGCGACAGCGATTGACAAATGTAACGCATGTGCTGGCGAAGGCCCAAGCGGGATCGAAAGAACTTCAAGCAACCAGAACAACGACCGGAAAAGTTAGGTATTAACCTTACAAAGTGCTCCTTTAAGCGACGGTGGTGGTGTAACTTCCTAAAACTGGGAAATCCCTTTCTGCACATCCGGCAAATAAAGGTTTTTCTACGCCTTTTTCTAGGGGTTCTCATACTTTTGCATTTTAGCTGCAATTTGCGATATCTAACTGCCAGTTTAGCATAGTTAGCGGTCACTGCAGCCAGTTGAGGATCAGGAGCAGGTGCTGCTAGCTGAGTTGCTGTGGGTATGAGATCTTTGTGATGCAAGAAACTGCTCTGCATATCCAGAATATCAATCTTTTTTCTTGGTTGCGTGGACACAGGGCTATTCTGCCACTCGGACTGCCAGTAATCCAATTGCTCAGTTGCCACAAATCCTCTGTGACCCTCCAGTTTCATCGGGGGGTTCATCGTCAAACTGGGCAAGCTTATATTCATTGGAGGAACGCTGACCATGGGAGTGGTATTATTGTGACTATGGTTATAGTGCTGATTTAAGCTATCTATAGTTATGAATTTAGCAGTGCACAAGGTGCAGTTGTGCAGCCGGAAGGCTGCTGAAGATTCCACCACACTATCGTTGAGCACCACAATGTTGGGTTTGACTGAAGTTGGAGGCGCAGGTTGTGGCAGCAGTTCGCAGATCAAAGGATTCGGTATCTGGCTAACATTGGTCACAATTGGTTTGCAGGAACGAGCTTCGGGAGCGGATAGAGAAGGTATCAAATCCTGAATGGGAGGTGGTTCAGCAGGCGGAGGAGCCGTGTCCGGAGCAGCCTCTGCTCCCTCCACCTTCTCCGTTTTGTACTGATGCGGTGGCAATTGCCATTCCTCTTTGGCATAGTTGTGCTCTTCGGTAAGCAGCTCAGTTTGCAGCATTTCATTGGCCGTCCTTCCAGGTTGCGTTCTCTCCGACTGCCCAACATCTGCATCGTCCGGTATATTGATAAACGGATCATCCAAATTGATAATCTCCATGATATCACAATTGTTGATAATGTCCTGCGAATTTAGCATGGGAAAATCGCAGAATTGGAACTTTTGCTCTGTTTCCTCCTGATCGCAGCCCTCGTCCTGCTCCAAGCCCATATCCAGTTCGTCGGGAAACAGATTGTCCAGGCTCTCGCAGGCCTCCTGCTTCACGCGGACAAATGGTTCCTGCTTGATCTTCAGCTGGCGACGGTATTTCTTCTGCAATTCACTCTGCGCCACCATCACCACATCGATAAACTGGGAAAAGCGCTCCAGTTGCAGGCAGCACTCCTTGCATATATCCTTGGGCAAGGTGTCGTCCTGCAGGATCTGGAGCGTGGGAAAGCACTTCTGGATCATGCCAAAGAGCTCGAAACTCTTGTCGAACGAGGAGCAGTTGGTGGCAGAGGAGCCGCAGAAGCGGCAGGTGGCCTTAACACCTGTTGCCGGCGACTCAGCGGCACTGGCAAGGGTCGGTTTGTGGATGGGCCTGCAGTTGGGGGACACGTGTTCCAAGTGAAAATTTGGGGAATCTTCTTCGGAAACTCTAATCGATGGCACAGCATTCTTTTTAAGAGTTTTTCTATTGTTACTGCAATTAAAGTCCTCGTCAACGAAATGCCTACTGCACACCGCACTCCATTTGGATGGCATCCACTGACCACTCCGCTGGGTGAAGTCCTTCCATTTCTGGAGGAGATCCTTTCGTTTGAAGGGAAATCTAAAAGAGAATAGGTGGGTAAAGTCTAGTAAGAAAACTTCCTTTCCCTTACCTGTGGAAGGAAATGCTGCCAGCGTGCACATATTTATGGCTGCAATTTACAACGGCGCAATGGGCTGGCATTTTCGGGGGCTTTAGTTCCCCAATTAATTAAAATAATTGGTCAATTTGAGTCTATTTACTTCGACGAGTCAGCTGTGGTCTCCCAGTCAGCTGTTTTTGTTATGATTCTGCGCCTGACAGTGCTGTAAAGTGTTGCACACTGTTTGTTGATAACGGTATTTATCGGCTTTTGCTAACTGGCAGCACTGTCCGAGAAATATCGAAATTCAAAAGATCAAGATTGTTGGTTCCTGTATGTAACCATTATATAAAATTACTTATTAAGAATTAGACAATTTCATTTAAGTTTTAGTTAAGATGTTATTTATAAAATAAATGTAATGTTGAACAAATTATGACACTAGTTATGAATTTTGATCCTGAAAGTTATTTCCAAATTATTTTTTTGGAGTACTCATTTAATTTTAAATATTTAAAAAATAAAGCTTGATAAATAGCAAATTCGCAAAATGGCCAGCTGGCCACATTAAAGCTTATCAACAAAGCGGACAGCTGGCGCACACGTCCCACCCCCAAACCGCCCCTTTGCCCGGTAATCCGTCATACTTATCAATTAGCGCGTTTATGACACACCCCCGGCCCCAAACACCCCGCAGATGCTTGCCCCGTGAGCATTTTTATTTTCTCTCGCCGTACGGAAAACTTCCACGGGCTTCAGTCTGTCGATTCGCACGGTGGCGGTCTGTACGCACAGTTTGGCGGAGGAAAAGGCAAGGTCAAGCAAGGTCTCTCCGTTCGGCTGGCGAAAAATCTAAATTCTACGTCTGTGCGCGGGTGGTGAAAGGAGAAAGCAAGAGAAATGGCACAGGTGCGACTGCTGGTACAGGGAGTACGGAGGGGACTGCTCAATGTAGGCGTAGCAACGCCCCACGAATCCACCGCGACCAATAAAAGATTTCAGCACAGCTCGTCGAAGTGCGTGTAAGTCTCTTGAGATTACGATAAGATTCTCTTACTTTCGGGTGTGTTCCGGCCTTCAGATACTTTTACTGTTTTGGGGATTATCTATTACTTAAGAGTTCCCGAACTTAAATTGACTTGTTTACCTTCTTCATTCAAAGATTTTTTGTATTAAATGTATACATACAGAAATCAAAGGAAATTTAGCATATCCCTTAGAGTGCATCTTCAAAATCTTTAAGTAATGAAATTACTGTTAAAGCTTTTTATATAAACATAATAAAAGTGCATTCCTAAATATATTCATCATTTTTAAAATTAAATGAGCTTAGAAAGATTAAAAAATGAACAACTGAATCATAACCGCTTATGGAGTAATAGCGTTGGTATTTTGACATTCTCTCCCCTCAGAGATTATGATCTGGTTGTGGTTGGTGGTGGTATTGTGGGTGCTGCCTCAGCCCGCGAGATCCTTCTGCGCCATCCATCCCTAAAAGTTGCCATCCTGGAAAAGGAATCCCAGTTGGCAAAGCACCAGAGTGGACACAATTCTGGAGTGATCCATGCTGGCATCTATTATAAGCCTGGAACGCTGAAAGCCCGCCTTTGTGTGGAGGGTATGCATCTGGCCTATGCTTATCTGGATGAACGTAAGATCCCGTACAAGAAGACCGGTAAACTGATTGTGGCCACGGATGAAAAAGAGGTGAAGCTGCTGGAGGATCTGGAGAAGCGTGGCATTGCCAACAATGTGCCGGATCTGAGGATGATCGAAGGTGACGAGATCCAGGAGATCGAACCCTACTGCAAGGGACTGAAGGCTCTCCACAGCCCGCACACCGGAATTGTTGACTGGGGATTGGTTACCCAGCATTATGGCCAGGATTTCACTCGGAGCGGGGGTGATATCTACCTAGATTTCAATGTCAGCAAATTTACCGAGACCAAAGAGGGCACCGATTTCCCAGTCACCATCCATGGCGCCAAGCCTGGTCAAACAGTTCGCACCAAAAACGTCCTGACCTGCGGTGGGTTGCAATCCGACTTGCTGGCCGAGAAGACAGGATGCCCCAAAGATCCCCGTATTCTGCCTTTCCGTGGAGAGTACTTGTTGCTGTCCAAGGAAAAGCAGCATATGGTTAAGGGCAACATCTATCCGGTGCCAGATCCCCGTTTCCCCTTCCTGGGAGTTCACTTCACGCCGCGGATGGACGGATCCATCTGGCTGGGACCAAATGCCGTACTAGCCCTTAAACGAGAAGGTTACACGTAAGTCTTATTCTTGACAACGTCGCTTAGACTCCATTGACCATTTCACCACTTGTCAGGTGGGGTGACATCAATCTTTTCGAGCTGTTTGACGCCCTACGGTATCCGGGCTTTGTCAAGATGGCCAGCAAGTACGTCGGCTTCGGACTGAGCGAGATGTCCAAGTCGTGGTTCATCAACCTGCAGGTCAAGGCGTTGCAAAAATACATCCCAGACATAACGGAGTACGACATCCAGCGCGGTCCAGCAGGAGTACGTGCCCAGGCAATGGATCTGCAGGGCAACCTGGTGGACGACTTCGTCTTCGATCGCGGCGAGGGATCGGGACCACTGGCCAAGCGTGTACTCCACTGCAGAAACGCCCCCTCGCCAGGAGCAACCAGCAGTCTCGCCATCGCCAAGATGATTGCCGACAAGATCGAGACAGAGTTCTCCATCGGCAAGTGATAGCCTATATCCTAACGAAAATCCAAGCCGTAAACCAAATTTATTGACCATCCATCACCGTTTGCAAATCAAATGTTATGTTCCAAATTCTGCCTTTATGGTGTCAGTGACGTACTGATCTATTTCGCATTTCGTTTTGTAAATTATAAAGTTAAACTATTTTGTATGCAATAGAATTACAAATTTTAAAAGTATATAAGCTAACCTTTAATTCAGCTCGAGGATATGACGGTTCTTCCTTTGAGGTGAGACTTCGTCTTTGATGCCCAGCACCTTAATCTGTTTTTGTAAAGAATTCTCCTCCAAGCTAGAATGAATCAGTTTTCGGCACTTCTCGTTTAATATTTTAAGGCCATTCCCTGCATGCTGACGCATTTGTGGATCACAGGACTCCTCGGACTCGATGGCTCGTAAGAGGCGATAAATGGGAAGAAGCATATCCTGGTAGTCCAGTAGATTCTCCATGCCATTCAACAGTTCAGCTAAGACTAAGACAGCTGCCCTCTTAGCGGGCACAAAGCTTCCTGTGCTTAATTCGCTGTTGACCAGTTGAAGTAGCTCCTGGAAGAAGTTTTGGACCTGATAAGCCAACAGGCGACATAGCTGGGCGAGATTGGCGAATGCTGACATCCGGAATTCGTGAACAGGAGAGCGTGAGCCGTGCATAAAGCAATTGAGCAGAACAGCCTTGTATCGATAGCAAAATGGACCTGAAAGTATAGTCCGCTTAAGTTATAAACTTGAATTGTCCAAAACAACTTACCTAACTCCTGAGCGACTTTCAAGATAGCTTCTCCCACAACCAGTCGGTAATCCAACTCAGCTGTCTCCGATAAGTATTCGTCACTTAGCTTGTCCAGCACTTCGGACTCCATCACAGGAACTAACGACACAAAAAGCCGAACACAATTGAGAAAAGTGTACGATTCCTTGTCCTTCAGAGTGGTCAGAGCTAAAGCTATAATGAGATGACCCTGCGACGTGGTCGCGGAATCCCGTTTCTTAAGCAAATCTATCATCATCTGAATGCCATAAACTTGCAAATGGGATTGCTTTTCCTCTATAAGGGAACGAGCTTTTTGGAATGGTTGGATCTTGATTGCTTCACTTGGTCGCCATACTCCTTGGATTATAGTTAGCAGGGATTGTACAGATTGTTGGACGAGAGAATTGGAGGATTGTAACCCTAACTGCTGCAACGGCTCCTTCAGTTCTTTAGTGCCTTCTGAGAGCTGAAGATCCTCACTGCCCTCAAGGAGTTCCTGCAAAAGGTTTAGTACAATGAGCAAAATATGATCCGTGGTCTCCTGTTCTCCAGATCGGTGGACCAACAAGTCTTTCAGTATATGCAAGAACTCTTTGGTGTGAAGGGCAAGCTGAGCTCTCAATGGTTGGTGAGCCACCAATTGGTTCAGCGCGATAAGCAAGTCAAGTTTTAGTTGATACTTGGAGTGCAGAAAGTCTTTGAGCTCCGTTTCCGAAGAGATGAAATCAACGCCGGCTGCAGACTTCTGCTTCAACTGGTTACCCATAAAACTCAAAAGAGCTAGGAATACATTGCACGTGAGGGAATGATGAGAGCTGGATAAAAGCAGTCCGGGCAAAATCCTGCCCATGTCATGATCCACTTGGTGATCCTTGTGGGCCACTTTAACCTGCATTTCATTGATGTTCGAGGAAGGGAGAATCAAAATTAGTGGGTGTAAACTTTTCCAAGGAGGCTCCTCTTCAACTTCCCACTTAAAAAGTCTTTGAAGGACATTTGACAATTCCTTTTCCCGTTCTCTATTATCTAGGCATCGTGAAATGATCCCAGAAAGCTGCGATGTTGCTGGTAGTTCCAATGGTAGGCCATCGTAAACTTGGAGGAGCAGGGGAAGGTAAGGAATTAGTAGGTTACTTGGTAAACAAGCCACGCTGGATGAGCAGAAAAGATGTTGCCACAAAAGGATGCGATTGCAGAGTTCTTGGTGATTCATTAAGATCAGACCACTAATTACATCTTCTGGGTTAACAAGACTTTCCCAGTGTTTGGATAATATCTCTTCTATCTGCTTCTGATTTGTATAATTTAAATCGTAGAGCCTTCTAAGGGATAGGACACCGGCACACATTTTGTCCGCATCCTGGAGGTAGAATTTACAATACTCCAACACCTGGATAATCATCTTTCCTTGTGCAAGTGGGGAGAATCCTTTTCTAGCCACAATGCTGGCCACAATTTCCGCATTTCTTGTAGAACTCACATTGGGAGTTTGTTGCAGCGCATCCACAAAGCTGGAGAAACCTTGGGGGGAATTCAACTTTACGAGGAGTTGATGGTGCAATAAGTTGGCCAGGGGTGTGCATAGCGGTGTGGCTTTCAAGAGCAAGATGTGTCGGAAGAAATCCGCTTTGGATTCCTGTTGCCAGAAGTAGGATATAGCCTTTTCCAGATGCACGGAGTCCTCCTTTACACGTAGACTCATAATGGCCGCCAGGAGATCCCTTTGAACCAGCTCCATGGAGTTGGCTATGTGAAACTGACGGATATGCAGTAGGTTTACAAAGAACTGAATGCTCAGAAGCAGCAGGGAAGAATTCGCCTTGACTTTTCCTTGGGCCTCATGGAAGATGGGCGACTTGTAGAAATCCTCATGGAGCTGACATCGAAGTGAATAGTAAGACAACTCTTGGGTGGCCTGGATGCACAGTTTAAGGTGTGCCACTGAGATTAGATCCTCCTTGGCGTCGCTATGGAAGTTAATATTCCTCGTGATCGAATGAAGCACATGTTCCAGTCTCACTATATAGGATATTATGGGTTCCCCTCCGGGATCTATACTGGATTCCTGATCTGCTGTCACCATGTATTCCTCGCATAATTCATGCAACTGCTGATCAACCTCAAGCTTGGCATATTTTTCTAAAATTAACAGGTTGCTTTTCAAGGCATCGGGTGTCTCAGAGTTATTACTTGCCTTATTTGCTGCAGTGATGGTTATATTAATATTGTTTTAATTATATAAACATGTAATATTACCTAGTGCTTTGTTAAACTTTAAACTCTCTAAAAGAGCAAAGTATTTGGCCGTATTTATCATTCTTATCACTTCAATTTAAAAGTTTGCGAAATTAGCGACCATTTGCTAGAGATGATTGTTTACAGCCGTACAAGTGGAATCGATAACATAAACAGAATAGTGCGAAGGTGTTGACAAAATAGCTACATCAATTGCAGAGATATTTGTTCATCTATTTATCTTTAATTATCAAAACCTAATTAAAAAATTATACTCTTTTCAAATAGAAAATAATAATTAAGCATTCCATATTAATTTATTATTTGGTTATGAATTTCTGTTTTTTAGGTGTTATTTACTTCTAGACATTTCTCCCCCGCAGTTTGGCTTTATTTTGCCAATCGATAGTCGGCTGCACTGGCGGCGGATTGCGCATCGAACTGCAGCACATTGCTCTGGTCACACTGGCCCCACGAACAAAAAAAAGGCAGCAGGAAAATCGAACAACTTTCTTTTTCCCCTGCATATTGTGTGTGTGCATGCAAAAACACAAAGTGCGCAGAATAGCTTAATTCAGCTGACCGATTCGACTCGAACGTGGATTAATTGGCCAGCGGCACCGACGCCTCGCCCTCCGTCAGTCGCCTCCACAAAAAAAAGATTGCCAAAAACACCTACGCGCAGGCAATTAAGACCGTGTGAAATTGTGTGCGTGTGCTCGCGAGTGTGTGTGTGTGTGTGTAGTGCTGCTGGGCAGTAAACATTTTCTGGTGAAAATCGGGGGAAAATGAAGAAAATCCTGTCCAAGTTCGAGCGCAATGAGAACTCGCGACTGGAGAATCCACCCAACAGCAGCAGCTCGTCGTCCTCGAACGAGAAGAACAGCTTTGTGGGCAAGGTCTTTACAGTGGGACGCGTCACGGTCACCGTGGAGGATGTCCTGGCAGAAGGTACACATATACTACACATCCCACTATCCATCTATCTTTGTCCGCAGTTCCCCTATCTCCCTACACGTAGCAATGCGATTATGTTTATCACCGGGCTGATTTACAGGTGGACAGTAACCTACATGCCCCATTCGTTCCTTCCTCCGTCAGATTAGATAAAAAATCGAGAATTCCCAAATGTGGGGCGTCCAACCCGCTAAAGAGCATAGAAGTCAGCTGCGTATCCACTTAATTGGGGGCGCCACTTGTCGCATTTCCGATTATACATACGGTTGAAATTAACTAACTCGAACTCCCAGAAATATTTTGAAAATTTTAGTCAAATATATACATTTTTGTATCAGTTTAAAATACTTTTATTTCCGATATTATTTGTTTTTATTTTAGTTTTTTTTTTTTTATTAATATAGTTTACTAATCTTTTTTAACTAGTAAACCCTTGACCCTTATCAACGCATAACTTAAAATTTTTGCCCTTGGCACAGAGTTATTTATGTATTTTCGTAACTCGAATTTTTAATGGTGTTGCAGGGAGTCATAATGTCAAAATCTTTGACCATTATAAAAGTTGTTTGGCCAAGATCAAATATGTATATCTAAACTTTAGCAAGTGACTATAGGTTTTCCGTATTAGAGAAGTTCGACTGTACACACAGTCACGGTTCTGGTTGGTTTTCCATAGAATACCCATAGAATTCCCGTAGCCACTACACATGGCCACAAATCAATTGAATCAATTATGTTAATTTAGCCAATGAAGCGGCAAGACCAACACAGAACTGCCTTCATCTGCCGACTGTCTCCCAGTTTTCCGTTTTCCACCTTTCGCCGAGTAAAATGGCAAAGTTCGACCCTAAGGAAATTGCCATGGCTTTGTCCTTGTCCTTGAATTGCGTGCACTCCGTATATCCTGTGTTGCAAGTGGCTTGGCACAAACACCAACCATCTAACATTTGATCTTCTAACGATTGCTCAGACAATGCATTGCCTTCCATTCACTACCTTTCCTTTAGCCATTACGTAGTACTTTTTTTTTGTACTTTTTATACTTTTGGCAAGCGGACTCGATTCGTAATGTTGTTTTGCGCTGCGCTGGCGCCGCTGTCAGACAGTCAGCTGTTTTCGAGGATACCCTGTGATTTATAAGGTGGAGGGTGTACCAAGCTAGGGTATTGTTTGCATTTAAAAATATACAATGTGTGATTGATTCTTCTTAAAATGTTAAATTTATTCAATTAATATCATTGCGTTTTTGAAGAATTATTAATATAAGAATAAAAATTACGATATTAATTAGAATAATTGGAATTTTCAGTCTTGTCTTTAATAGAAACCGGTTTCCTTTCAAAAAACAATATTTTTAGTTTGAAAAAAGAAAACGGTTTCCACAATTCTAAAATTGGATATACTTCTTAGTTATTGGAAGAGCTCACTTTAGTTTTAAAATATATAGAAATAGACTGGATATAGATTTATACGATAGACGTTTAGTAATCGTGATTTCTTACTATGATAGTATGATATCATCTAAACAATCACGTATTGAACACTTTTTTTTCCATAGATCTTTCAATGTTGTTTTTACTTATTAAACTCAAAAGAACTTCTACTGTCTGAATAGGCTGAGTATCTCTACAGTAACACGGTGCTTAATCGCCTTAATTTTTTACCTGGTCTGTTTGACTTAACTTTTGAGCACCCAACAAGACAGCTCCAGTAACAACAACACTTGGAAATGACTAAGCGACAAACCGTTAACGAATGAAGCTATTCCCCTAGCCCCACCTTAACCCCCTAACGCCCGGTTTGCATTCGACTCCCCATTTAGCCCCTTTCGGCCACTTTTTCTACCCTAGTTTGCGTTTTAAATTGCCTTCTCAAGTTTTCTCGCTTCGCTACAATTGTGCATTGTTATTGTTGCTTTTCATAACTATTATTACTGATTGTTGTTGCCGTACTTTTTGCCAAAGTTGATTTGTTGCTGCTGGCTGGCAACCTTCAGCATTGATTAACATTTGACGCCATAATTTCACAAAGTCGAGCAAAAATCAAGCAAAAATGGTTACATTCGTATGTCCGCTATTCATTTCTCTCTATCTTTTGCACAGGGAGAAATATTTGTATAATTATGACATATTGGTGAACATTTTATCAAAATGACTTAAAAACTATTTATTTTGTCTACTAAAAATAGCATTTTTGTCGCTGATTAATTATTGAACTAATCAATTTAAGTAAAAAAATATTTTTATACTTTGAATGATATTTTTCCAAGTGCCCGCGCTCCCTATCTTTTTTCCACCCCTCGATCTTCCCCCGCTGAGTATTGTTATTGTCGCATGTTATTGTTGTTATTTCTGTACGTGACCTTCAATAGTTTAGTTTATATTGCGTTGCCTTTTTATCGTACATTTTGAAGTGGCGCAAAGCGACAGGTGACGAGGGGCTGAATGTGGGGGCTCTACTTGAATTCTATTTGCAATAAAATGAAATAAACCTCATGCAAATCGTCTGTTGGGCAAAACATGTGTAAATCGTTCCATGGCCAGACAGTGAATACTATCGTTCAAATTCAGATACCCTTTAATTAAATCTGCATCAAGTGCATATTTGCACTGAACTTGTGTGAACGTGAATTATGTGAAAGGAAACAAACTAGATTTGAATCACGTATTTATCATCCCATTTCATTAAATTTGAATTATATTTATATACTCTGTTTTTAATGGGAAACTGCAACAATTTTTTTTATTATGATGCATCATTTTTATTTTTGGATGTAAATACTCATTGGCATAACATTATAAAGAGTGAAATAAAGTTTTTTTTTACAATATTTCCTGTTTTCACACAATAATGAATAATGAATGAATGCATTTTTCTAAACAATAAGCTTGTATACACTTAGGATTATTTAATTGTTGTACTCAAAATCAAACGTTTTCCGATCAAAACTTTTCATAAACTAAAATATGAATATAAATTTCTACAATCATTTTTGAAACTATAGGGTATTCAGAACGGATTGTGTTATCATTAAGTTTACTCCCCTAGTTGATATGTGTTTTGCTGTTTACAGCTGACAGCTGTTATGGATGTCTAGTCCGTCAAGTTACCCCCACTAACGGTCTGTTTTTCTCTTCCCCCATCTCCCCAAAACTCACGCAGGTGGTTTCGCCATGGTCTTTTTGGCCAGGGGCAACGGCGGAGGCAGTGCCTCGGCAACCAAGTACGCCCTGAAGCGAATGTACGTCAACAATGAGCACGATCTGAATGTGGCCAAGCGCGAGATACAGATTGCGGTGAGTTAATAAACCAGGACAAACAAACCTAATCTAATAACCTAATCTAATAGAACAATCACTTTCCTTCTTCCAGAGCAACCTGAGCGGGCACAAGAACATCATCGGCTACGTGGACTCGAGCATCACGCCCACCGGGAACGGGGTGTGCGAGGTGCTCCTCCTGATGCCCTACTGTAAGCATCACATGCTAGCCATGATGAATGCAAGGTAAACCAAGTGAACCAATTAATACGAATTCATTTGATCCCTGAAGTCAAATGTAATTGAATCAAATCACCCGTAGATTACACGTAGGCTTCACGGAGCCCGAGGTGCTTAACATCTTCTGTGATATTGCCGAGGCGGTCTCCCGTTTGCACTACTGTCAGACCCCGATCATCCACCGTGATCTGAAAGTGGAGAACATCCTGCAGACGGATGCGGGCAACTTCGTGCTCTGCGACTTTGGATCGGCCACGGCCAAGACGCTAAATCCTCAGCAGCACGGAGTCACTGTGGTGCAGGAGGAAATCCAGAAGTACACCACTCTGTCCTATCGTGCCCCCGAAATGATCGACCTGTACGGAGGAAAGAGCATCACCACCAAGGCGGACATCTGGGCATTGGGTTGCATGCTCTACAAGCTGTGCTTCTTTTCCTTGCCCTTTGGGGAGAGCACACTGGCCATCCAGAATGGGCAGTTCTCCATTCCAGACTCCTCGAAGTACTCGAAGGGCATGCACCAGCTGATTAAGTATATGTTGGATACGGATCTGGAGAAGAGGCCAAACATTTGGCAAGTCTGCGAAGTGGCCTTTCGACTTGCTGGCAAGGAAAACCCCGTACAAAATCTACATGTAAGTTACACTGGAAGTCAATCCATATAAATTGTTAGTTAATAATTGATTTTTCCATTAGAAAACTCCCATTCCAAACTTCGAACTGCTGGTGGTGCCTCCATTTGAGTCGGAGGCGAAGAGGATTAGTGCTGCAGCCTCCAAGGCAGCCAAGGCCCAAAACGTGTCGGTTGTGGAGGCGGGCACCAGCGTTGCTCCTCGTTCTCGGCCCAAGGGTTCCTCTGCGGTGCATGGAGGAAATCCCTTGGGTCTCGGTTTGCCGCCCAGTCCCTCTCCCAGGCAGAATATCACCTCTCCACAGCCTCAGCCGCAGCCTGTGGTCGAGCAGTTTCAGGCCAACTTTCCAGCTATGCCGCCGGGTCCACCGCCTCAAGCGGTTACTCCGGCAGCTCCTGCTGCCAGTAATCTCTTCGAGACGAGTGGCTATCCAGATCCCTTCAATGAGCCAGCCGCGGCTGCAATTCCAGCTGAATTTATACCAGCAGCAGAAGAGCCCAATAAGGAGGAAGTGCCTCAGGATTTGAATGCCACAGACGGCACGCCCACGAAGAATATGCTAACGCCTCCGAAACCCAGCGGAGGTGGTGGTCATAGGCGAAACGTCAGCGATACATCGGCCTTTAATAAGTAAGTGGAATATGAGTGAATAAGATAAACTAAAATCAAGAATACCAATGTTGATTCTAGTAATTTTAATTGTTAAGTGTACTATCACCTAATTAATATAGAAATTTTAGATTTCAAGATCAAGACTGAGCAAGATTATTACCAATTTTAAAAAACAAACACATTTTGGTTTGATGAATACTAACTTTAATTTTTAACACAAATATTCTTGATTTTAGACCCTTTTTAATGGCTTGATCCAGCACGATCTGTATGTGTTCTGTGTTCTGCTCTTCTCTTGCCTTTTCACTCACTCTCTGCTTGTCTCTTTCTGTGTGTTCTTCATCCTTAAGAGCTACAAGTGACCAGGATGAAGGCGATGAGCCGCGAAGCCAATAGAAACTTTGTAGCCTTAAGATCTGTATCCCATCCCGTATTTACTTTTTATGCCTTGCTTGCTCTTTTCCCTTAATAAATTATAATTTTACCCATCACTCACTGATCATCTAATCATTCATTTATTTCGTTGCGCTCCAGAACGTTTGCCAATGAGACAAGTCAGTTTCTGGCCCCGTTTAACAATAACTTGGCTGCAATGGGCGATGGTCCCCAGACTTTGGCCAGTGCTGCATCAAATCCCGGGATATATGCCTCTGCAAATGCGAACTCTGCCGCGGTATCCATTAGCGAGTTATTGAAGTCAGGACAAACGGCGGTGGAGAAGCGTGTTGAGGCTTGGAATCCATTCGAGGAGGAGCAGCCCTTTAGCCAGATGACCGAGGATCATATATTCGAGGCGGAGTTCGACAAGATCCGCCAAAGAGGAAGTCAAGGAAGTAAGTTGAGGGATCGGTTTTGTATAAGTTACTTAATTTGTTCAGAATCTCTCACTAATCAATATCCTTATTCCAGGCATTACAGCCAAATCGGCTTCCACAACATCCACGCTAACGCCCACGGAGCAGAATCCCTCAGCGGTTGTGGCTCCCATTGCAGCTGTTCCTCCACCTGCTCCAGGTGCAGTGCCTCCTCCTGCTGCAATTACGGCCGCAGTGTCGCCTCATCCACCGCAGCTTTCGGAGGATCCATTCGGATCGGCGCCATTCAGTTTGCCACCCGGACTGCGCGAGAAGGCGAGCTCGCTGCGCAAAACCGGAGGTAAAGCATGAAATTCTACCTTAACCGTTTGCAATGCCAGAATACGTTTAGTTTTCCGATTGTTGCTTTTGTTCGCTCTTAATCTCGATGCAGAAAGTGAAAGTGATTTGAACGTAGACGTAGACGTAGTCTAAAAACTTCCTAGTAACGCTCAGCTCAACTCAGCAGAGAGCCGCCAAGGCGATCTCCTCGATATCCTCCATCCAAGGAGCCGCTTCCAGACAACATCGGCAGCCGCCGAAAGATCCGATCAGCCCCCAGCTATAGATTATCCATATACTAGCCGATCGCTGCTCGATCGAAAGATTTAGCGTGCCATATAGAAGGGTGGAAGATCCCGCGACGTAGACTACTTAAGTGCAATCAATTAATTTGTAAATACCCCAATGCACCCAATAATCGTCCCGAAAATAACGTAAAGCAACTGTCGATCATCTTATAATTTATTTTCGTCGTTTCATACGTTTTTTTGGCCACAGATATCAGAAACTCTGTCTCTATAAGGCTGCCCACAAAAAAAACTTCAAAAAATACCTACAAATGGAAGTCAAATCAGAAAATTTATTAATAATAACTCAAATTAAGATTTAAATCGTCAAAAATTTTATTTTTGAAAAGCATTACCATAGGGAAGATTTAACTAAATTATTGATGAATAAGTTTTATCAAACATTTTTAAAGTATTTTTTGTCTGTTATGGAAATTAGTTATGCATTTTACCATCCTCCCCATCCCCTTAACAATCTCCAATCTTAGCGCTTCTAACAAAAATATACTTGGTGCTGGTACTACGCTAGAAACAAATAAAAGCTTAAAAAAACCAAAAATAATTATTATTATATCTAGCATATATACAAATTTAGTTCTTAACAGTAATAAATTAGCGGTTGTGGTTCGTAAACTAACCAATCAAAAGAACAAATTTCAATTATTTTTATTGTACAATTCATTGGCTTATTTGTAAATGTATCTACTCTGTGTGTAATTGTAAATTAAGCTAACTAAGAGAAAATATTAGATATATTTATTCATGTTGTTGGCGTAGAGTGTGAAGCAATTGAATTCAAACTAGCGTATACAATTTTGGCAATAATTTGCATATCACAGTTATTACTTACCATACATGTGTTAAAATCGTGCAATTCTAAAGATTAATGCTAAAGAGATTATTATTATGGATCTGTAGGTCTAATTGCCGCTCAACATGACAGCAAACTCGATTAAGATTTTTATCTCTGATTGTTTTATATTTTCGCTTTCGATAAAGTTCGCCTAAAGCTCCGATCCCTGCGGATGTGGCAGCAGACAAACAAACAAAAGTAACGCAATCAATTGTTAATAATCATCACGAGAGTCCAATCAACGCAAGACAATACACGATCAAGTCCGAGATAGTCCAAGAATGTTTTCCAAATTGTCGAAATTGATTCCTCATGCTCCCCACACACAGCCACACCAATTGAAATGTTCAACTAGCTATAACTACTACTCTTGTTAATACTGTAAATAAGTTAAATCGATGGGAGAAAACACCTTGAAGCGTTAAACCAAAGAGCTAAAAGTTAGTAACTAGAATAACCCAAGATGAGCAACAGATAAAGCGCAATGAAAGCAACAAAAGTCAGGTAACCAAGACACATACAAGCAAATTATCAGATGACAACAAATACAGATTATATCTATATATACATAAAGCACTATATATTTATACAAACCAGTTAAGAAAGGGCGTAAGCTTAAGTTCAGCCACAAGAAATGTATGAGATTCAAACCAAAACTGAAGCAAAACTGCAATAAACTCTATAATATGTTTAAAAACCAAACTGAACATTCACAAAATGTAAATCAAACTAACTAAATTTGTGGGTAATTTAATTAATGCTTGGGCATGCACAGATACCGATGAGAAAAAACAAATTTTTAAATGGAAAAATTATGAGTGAACATTTGTAATTTGCTAATTTTAACAGATCTGTATTTTCGTTGAATCTAAAACCAAAATAAAAATCTTTTCCAATTAATAATTTGAATTTAAAAAGAAGGAAAAATTAGAATTTAACTGTGCACGCCTCAAAATCAACACATAATTCCCCAATTTAACTTTTGGGTCAACATTACAACGTATTCCAGCTTCTATCGTCGCGTTCGTCATTCAACTAACCAAAATATTACGTATACGTCACGTTGAGCATAGAGCATTCATAAATCACTCAGTAACTCATTGCATTTCAGGGGATCATCCACATGTTCTCACTCTTTTCATACATATTTAGTTGTAGAACAAACTGCCGCTAACCCGTTTACCCGTAATCTCATTACCTTACTGCATAAAAGTCCTTCGCTCTCGTCCACAGCGAAATTCATTGGCGTCTCCTCCGGCGGAGCAGGAGGTGGAGTGGCCACGCCCATCGGCCTGGTAACAGGAGGAGCCAACACCGCCACCTCATCCAATTCATCCAAGTGGCTGCTCTCACCCACATTGGAGGTTTCTAGCGAGGAGAAGACCTCGCTCATCAGCAAACTCAAAACCGATTCGGAATGCGGAATGCCCGGCGGTGTTGGAGGGGCAGTAGAAGGTGTCTCCGGCTATGTTAAGCTCCCACTGGAAGATCGCAACAAGTACGAGAAGCTTCGCAGCAAGGATCAGCCCACAACCGATGACTCCGATTCTGAGGGTTCCGAGTTCTTTCAACAAGATAGCGATGAAGGCGGTGGCGGCATCTTCAAGCAGATGCAGCTGGTGACTAGCAATTTGCCGGAGACCATCCATAAGATCCAACAAGTGGCCTATCACAAGGTGGATAAGACAGCCCATTTGCCCATAGTGAAGAAACTTCGCGACAAGACCAAGAAACCCACATCGGCTGCCCACCAGGCCGCGCAGCAACTGAATCTCATGGCGGCTGCAGTGGCTGCACAGGCAGAAGAAGCTGCCAAGGCGGCCGAATCGGATGGCGATTCCATAGGATCTGCCAGTGATCTGCGGGCAGAGGATGATGACCTCTTCGACGAGAATCCTCGCCAGACCCAGGCCAAGCTACGTCGTCCCTTGCCAACGGAAATGGATGGAATCAGCGAGTCGGTTAAGACCTGCAGCAGTTCCGCCTATCATGCTGAATGCGAGAGTGTGACCACCCATGAAGACGATGTGCGGAGCAGGGTGGTGGTTAAAGTGCGAATGAGGAAGAAGGACCGTAGCCTGGTAGCTGGCAATGGAGATCCAAGTGCGCCGTCCGAAGAACTAAGTCCCACTTCCAGCGATCTCCTGCACAAGTTCGGCGATCGTCCGTTGCTGCTGGATGATGAATTGGATTATGGTTCTGGGGAGAGCAAGAGCAGCACCGAATCTCCCCTGGCGGCACCGCTACCGACGAATCCCGAGATACTTGAATCGGAGGAGGATGTGTTTGCCCTGGCTCCCTTTAAGTTACCCGTGGGTATTCCTTTAAAAAGGAAGAGCAAGCCCAAGACGAAGCCCAAACCCTCTGAGCCTGAGATGTGGACCTCTACACCAGTTAAATCCGCCGGTGCTGGTGATCCCTCGACGAACTTTGCCAGCTTTCCAGCGCAGCTCACGCCAACAAACCAAGTGGGAAGTTCCCCGCAGCTAGACGAGTTCAACGAACCCATTTTTAATCCCTTCCAGGAGAACGCACAGAAGTCAGAGCCGGTAGAAAGTAACCAATGCGATCTGTTCGGCTTGGAGCCATTTCCACAGGTAATTCGAACCATCGAACAGAACCCACAGCACCACCAGATCCACCAATTTCCCAGCCACAACAACAACAACAATGTGATCAAAGTGCCCGCCTCCGTGTCTGTGTCTCTTCCTGCCTCCGTTCCCGTGTCCGTTTCTGTCAATGCGTCTGCCCCACAACTGGTGACCATAAATCACTCGATTATAATCAACAAAACGCCAGAGCCATTGATGATCTATAATAACAATAACAATAACCAGTCGGTTAAGTCGAGTGGCACCAGCAGTGTGTATGTGAATGTGCCGTCTTACTCCAGCATGAGCACCAGTTCCTGCTCCATTAACCAGCCACAATCCTCACCAGCAGCTGTGATCCCAGTTCCGGCACCTGTTCCAGTTCCTGCCCCCGTTTCTGTTGCAGTCTCTGCACCGATTCCCGCGTCTGTTACCCATCTTCGTCCATTGCTGCCCATTGCCGATAATGCTTATGTGCAAATCTCCCAAGATCGCTGCTCCGATTTCACACCGGACGACGAGGAGGAGCCCGTGGTGCTGCGTGATGCCGATGTGGTGGCAGACGGGATCGGTATACCTGCCCCTGGAAAGGTCAAGAAGGAGAAGTCCCATCTGGCTGTAAGGGTTCTGCCGGGAAAGCTCACCCAAAAGGTGAAGGGCGCCTCGTACAAAAAAGTAAGCGCTGCCGCCCTGGGATCAACCAGTTCCCTGAGTTCCGGCAGCAAGCAGAAACACCAGAGATTGCAGTACCAGTCCCACGATGATGACGATGACGAGCCGGATCAGGATGAGAATCGAGGAGCGGGTGGCAGTCGCAATTTCCAGTCGAATACCATACAAAGTTCAGCTAAAACGGGCTTCAGCAACATGAGCTTTGAGGACTTTCCATCGGATCAGGAAATGGATCGCTTGTCCAGGACAATACCCTTTGAAGTGGTTAGGAACGAAAAGATGCTGCTCGAGGCAGAGAAGAAATTCGGCTCCCTCAAAAGGCGCAACAACCTGTTCTCGTAAATGGAAACTAGGGCCAAAACTATCAAGGAGACCTGAGACTGAGTGTTTCAAACTATTTTGGCATTTCGTTTAAGCTTTTCTCCGTTCCGTTTTTAGTGTCGTTCCAATAACAAATATCTGTATTTTTTGAGCCTAGTATTTATTCGCGTGTAGCAATGTTGAAAAGTGGTTAATATTATAACTACACATATTATACACAGAACAAGAACAATACCTATAACTGTTATTTAGTGCAACAATGTAAAATAGTTTTTAGAAGTGAAAGATGTTTTAGAATTTATACAATGCGTAAGTTTACCAAAGTTACATTTATGTTCGTGGCATTTTTCAGCTTGAAATATTCCCTGGATTATTTATTTATACAAAACTATGTAATTATACACCCAATAACAACCCCAAAAACAATTTATTGCTTAAACCAATTGCATTCACTAACACCAAGGTATTTAGGAATTAATTATTCTATCCGTATCGATTAACATACTCGTCTATGTTAGCACACCATTTGTTTTGCATATGTATTATCTCGATTATATAAAATATGCCTATTGTATTTATATATTTTAAACCAGTGTTTTAATTGGTTTCTGTGGGAAAAAGTCAAATGTTAAAAAAAAAGATTGATTTTTAAGATCATAGTTCAATTTTACAGCCACGACTGTTGGCGGGGCAGTATGTCAGCTGCAGGGTTGCTTTTGTCAAAAGATAACGTAAAGACATCTGTTGCTCATTCAAAATTTGTATATATATACATATTTTTGCGGTTAAGTACCTCATACTTTTTTTTATTATGCTCTCTTTGTCCACCGCTTGTTGCTATTTTAGTACTTTTGTGACATTAAATGCCATTGAAATCTTACAAATTTACAGTACGAACTGTAACCTCACCGAATTTGAAATTTTTTATATTTCTAATTTTTGAAAATCAATTTTAAATTTAAATTGTGATAATAACTAGACGAAAACTGTATTCGATAGTTGAGTTAAAGCGAGAAAACTACTGCTAAATAGTAGTACATTCTAGCTCTGGTTATCTTATAATTTTATAAATATCTAAAACGTTTTCCTTATCAAGTTTTCACTGTACACTGAACAGCTCGTAAACAAAGAACAGCTGAGCTGTGCAAAAGTGTAGGTATGTTTTTGTGTTGTGAAAACTCACACAAGATAAGCGGAAAAGTTGCCAACCCAAGCAAAAAATCCGAGAAAATCATAAAAATCCAAGTCAACAAAACTCACAATATCACGTATCTGTCAGATACAAAATACAGTCCTATCGGCTTGGTAGCTCTGAGAAAATTCTTTAGTTTAGCAAAACACGTAGGCCAGAGAAGCCATGGAGAAAAACAGCAGTTGGAACTGGAGCAACAAAGGAATACTGGTAAAGTGTGGAGGATTCTCATCGCAACTGGCCAGGAATGTCACCGAAAAAGTGGACGGAGATCCATTGTGGGGATCCCGATTTGATGCCACAAACCCGGAGGCTGTAATCAAAACTCATCTCGACTTTCTGCGTAATGGAGCGGATATTATTTTAACCAATACGTACCAGTCCAGTGTGGAGGGTTTTGTCAAGTACCTGGGCGTGACCAAAGATCGGGGTGAGGAACTGATCCAAAAGAGTGTGGAACTGGCGAAGGAGGCCAAAAAACAGTACCTAACAGAAACCGGTTCAGGATTGGAAACGACTCTGCCCCTGATATTGGGCTCAATAGGTCCCTATGGAGCATGTCTTCACGATGGATCCGAGTATTCCGGCAACTATGCGGACACGATAACCAAGGATCAGCTGAAGCAGTGGCACAGGACCAGAATCGAAATATGTTTGGCCGCTGGGGTCGATGGATTGGCCTTGGAAACTCTTCCCTGCCAAATGGAAGCGGAGGCAGTTACAGAATTTGTACTTGAAAACTGTCCAGATGCGAAATTCTGGGTCTCTTTTCAATGCAAGGTGAGTAATTGCGTTGTAGTATTCCCTCTATAATATCAAACAAAAACATCTCTTGAATTAAAAAACTAGTGACGATCGCACCTTCAGCAAATAAAATTGAAAACATTTTTGAAAATATTCGGGCGTAAGATTCTTAGGTGCAACAATATAAATTGTATACAACTAAGCGCTGAAGTGATTTCTGTTGTATTTGTGTCACAAAATAGGATCAGAAATTGTATATGTTTACAATAGGACGTACCACTTCTTATCATCGTTAGGTTTTCCTTTTTCCGGTTTACTAGATACCATTAGGGTTTTAATTGTATTACCTAGTTACAAAAAAGGATAATTCATTCTATTTATCTAAATGTTCAACAATAAATGTAACAATGTATGTCATTAGATTTAAGAACCAATTTTGTCCAAATTTAAATATGTTTACCAGTTGTGACTAGCGCTGTAATTTATAAGTTTTTAAACTTGTAGCGTTAGGAAGCCTAAAACAATAAATAATAATAATAATAATAATCATTTCATACCTCAAATGTTAAATCGTTGCTTGTGATTTTTACTAATACAATATTTAAATTAAAGCACCTAGTAAATATGACACTCTAAGATTATCGGTAACTAACTCTTGATCTATAATTTCAGGATGAGAAAAACCTGGCGAGTGGTGAATCCTTTGCGGAGGCAGCTCTCTCCGTATGGCGGCTGGTTCAAAACCAAAAGGCTGGCGACCGGCTCCTTGGAATCGGTGTCAACTGTGTGAACCCACTATTTGTGACACCTTTGCTAACATCACTCACGAAAGCTGCCGGACCAGATCGCATCCCACTGGTGGTCTACAGTAATCGCGGCGAGATTTGGGATGCGGATCAGGGCGAATGGACTGGAAACGGCGAGGAAGTGGTCAAATTTGTGCCCGAGTGGATACAGCTGGGAGCTCGCATCGTAGGCGGCTGTTGCCGAGTCTATCCGACGGATGTTTTGGCGATCCGCAAGTACGTCGATAGCCTCAACATAAAGTCGTAATCGGTCGAGCACTCCGAGCACTGATAGCTGAGTTGTCGTTAGCGCGAAAGCCGTTTCGTGTGACTAGACCTAGACCTATTTAGTTTGCTAAGTACATATGTACATTTTTTGTACACAGATCAGATGGGCTGCCTAATCAGCAGAGAGTGGAAAAAAGCATGGACGGCTGGGCTGGGAGACAAAAACAGATTAAACCGGCGGACCAAAGGTAAACAAGTGGGCTTGGAACGGGGGCTGGCGGTCACCCAGCGACTGTTTTTGCAAACCCAGCTCAATTCAAGTCGAAATCCAAATCAGAAAAATCTCTGATTCAAATTTTATACATCAACGTGCATTTGTCCTTTTAAATAAAGTTTATTACGTTTTTACTCTTCATTATCGCCTTTAAATTCTATAAGAAAAAAAATTTGTATTGATGTAAGTAATAATACTATTTCTATAACTGAACTCTAATTTAGTAAATTTACTTTTGTATTCTGTGGGAACAAAAAATATTCCTTATTTCTGACCAACAACACACCACACCAACAACAACACTTTTATAACTATACAAATTTGTTATATAATAAAAAAACATTTAAGGAAAAAGTTTACCAAGTCTGCTTTTATTAATTATACCCGTTACTCGTAGAGTAAAAGGGTATACTAGATTCGTCGGAAAGTATGTAACAGGCAGAAGGAAGCGTTTCCGACCCCATAAAGTATATATATTCTTGATCAGGATCACTAGCCGAGTCGATCTAGCCATGTCCGTCTGTCCGTCTGTCTGTCCGGATGAACGATGAGATCTCGGAAACTATGAGAGCTAGGCTATTGAGATTTGGCGTACAGATTCCTGAGCTTCTTACGCAGCGCAAGTTTGTTTCAGTAGACTGCCACGCCCCCTCTAACGCCCACAAACCGCCCAAAACTGTAACTCCTACAGTTTTGATGCTAGATAGAAAATTTAAACTGAAATGTAATGTTCTCATCAATACCTATCGATTGACCCAAAAAAAAGTTTGCCACGCCCACTTTAACGCCCACAAACCGCAAAACCCTGTGACGCCCACAATTTTCATGCTAGATAAAAAATTTTAACTGAAATGTATTGGTCTCGTCAATACCTATCGATTGATTCAAAAAAAAATTTGCCACGCCCACTCTAACGCCCATAACGCTTAAATCTGTATACCGCCGGTAGGTGGCGCATTTTAATCTCGCTTTGCTGCTTGCATATCTCCATTTAGCTGAGTAACGGGTATCTGATAGTCGAGGTACTCGACTATAGCGTTCTCCCTTGTTTTTAATATTATATTTTTGAACATTAAAAATGTATACTACAATATCTTGTTTAATAGTTTGTCTTAAGCTATTAAACCTACTTTTTAAGACCCTGACATGTAGATAAGTATGCTGTATTTTATAAGAGTAGGAAAGGGAAGGTTTCTAGTTTATATCTTGACCTAGTAGACTCTTAAACAAAAATGTTGCATCTAAAAACCAAAAGTTATACAGTGTAAAGTAATGCGCAAAAAACGAATGCGCCTTTGAGGTATGCAAACTTTTTTGTTATGATGGCTATTTAAAAATCTGAGGTCCATGACATTAGCTTTCTTTTCTGCTTGTTTACCATTAGAAATGCAATAAATTATTTTGTTTTTAAGTTATTTTTCGGACCACGATCTTATGCTATTTGAAGTACCCGCACCCGCTGTTACTCTCTCAAGAAGGCAAAGTCAACAACCAAATACATATTGAGTATTGGATCTACGCGGTTTCCAGAGGTTATCGACGTCGATTTAGCAGAGATCCCGAGAAGCCGAAGTCGAGTCCCAACACTCGGCAAACTGAACCACGCACTCCGACGATCCGTAGATTTCATCAGCCTTGTGGAGGAGGAGACGCAGTCAATCCGGACAATCCAATCTGGCTGGCCAGCGTCTGGCAGCTGTGCACCCGGCTTATCAACCTCAAAGTATCACTGGGTGGGGGCACTCTCGTGTTTGTGTTTGCCGATTTGTTTTGTTATAAATTTTATTTATTAATTTCGCCCCGATAAGCCGCACAGCTGAGTGGCTGTCCGGAAGGTATAAAAGCCCCTCGACATGCTGTAAAACACTTAATCGTTTGGCGAGCACCCAGTGCGACAGATCGTATCCAACAGTCCGAGAGTTCTGTGAAAAAGAAAACAAAAAGCCTGATAAACAGCCAGTCTAGCGTCTAATAAAGTTGATATTGAATTTAACGATTTACAAGATCTATAAATAAGCTTCCAAGGTGAGTGCGGCACATTATCGTGTGCATGTGGCTGACTGGCTGCCAGATTCTCTGCCAGAGGGTGGCCCAATTCTGTAATGAAGGTCCCAATTTAAAGTCAGATGAAGAACAAAAACTGATACAATAATAAATCACAATAAAATTATCAAAGCTTTTATAATTTTAAGAATTCCAATATATAAGAACTACAATATCTATTCCACAGTTTTATACCCATAAATAAAATATCATAATGATTTTTTTAATATATGAATAATTTTTAAAATTACATTGTTCTTTGAAAGCTTAAATTTGAAATTCTCAATCATTCTTATTATTATTTTAAACAGAATAACTGGAAT